GGTGGTGCATCGGAAGCCATTACAGTATGATTCAATGCAAACTTTGATAAAATGCATCCGATTCGACAGGAAGCTTTAAATACACTGAATGTGTTAGTGTTACTGCCGAGACACTTCAAAGCCCTGTGTCTTACAGAGGCACAATTCAACTATCTTGATTAGTGCCAATGATCTCATCTCTTTTAGAGGGGCAAAAATTCTACCTTTTTAAAGCGAGAAGCATGAACAAGACGGATAAACTTAAAACACACATTTTATTTTTAGCATGCCCATAGCCTTTGTTTTGTAGTAAGTAGGTCCACGAGTGATTGTCTTGACCATAAATGTGTTTTAGCTAAAAGCATAAACAAATATTAAGTATTGCTTTATCTAGTTGAAATTTTCAAATAAGCAGGCCCAGCCCACCAACAAGTTCTAAACCATTGCAGTTGTCCTCTTTTGTTTTATTTTTGATAATGTGTATGCACATAATTGACTCACTGTGGCTCTCGAAGGACATCCCCATCAAATTTGACACGGTCTCCAAACATCTCTCTCAATTTTTTCTTATCCAGAGTCCATTCTCCATCACCAACCTCTAAAATGTTATTGCCTCTTAAATCCAATAATTGCAATGAATCCGATAGCTCTCTTATAGTGTCTGGTAGTGTCTCGAGTTCATTATTCCTAAGACCCAGCGCATTTAGATTCTTTAGCTTTCCTATCTCAGCTGGTAATAACTTTAGTTTGTTATTACCGAGAAGCAATACTTTTAGATTCTTCAGCTTTTCTATCTCAGACGGTAATGACTCTAGCTTATTACTACCAAGAAGTAGTATTTGCAGATTCTTCAGCTTTTCTATCTCAGATGGTAGTGTCTCAAGATTGTTACGATTGAGATGCAATATCTTTAGATTCTCCAGCCCCTTTATCTCAGCTGGTAATGATTCAAATTCGTTATAACTGAGATCCAAGTGCTGCAGATTTTTCAACTTTTCTATATCTGCTGGTAATAACTTTAGTTTGTTACCACGGAGGTATAGTTCCTGCAGATTCTCCATCCCTCTTATTCCAGCTGGTAATAACTTTAGTTTATTATCACTCAAATCTAGTTCGTGTAGGCTCTTCAGATTTCCTATTTCATATGGTAGTGTCTCAAGATTGTTACCATTGAGATGCAATATCTTTAGATTTACCAGATCTCCTATCTCAGATGGCAGCGTCTTGAGCTTGTTATTCTTGAGATTCAGCTTTTCTAGCTTCACTAGTCTCTTAATATTGCTGTCAATAGATGTAATGCCTTGGAAAGGTATGGCTATTTCAGTTTCATTCTCAGGGTACTTTTCAAAACTGTAGTGCAAGAAATGTACTCCTTGTTCTTCAGTCCCAGGTCCTTCAAGTGGATTAGGCTTTTGAACGCTCCCAGGATTTGTGTCATTGCCAGAGCTCTGGAGCATAGCTCCAATGAATACAATCAGATTACATATTGTTTTGTATGTCTTTCTAATTCTTGCCATATTCATTAGGGTATGAGTTAAAAAATTTTAAATTAATTAAATTAATTAGAATTTTGATCGAAAAATCAGTTATAAGTTTAATTGCAAACAAGACAGCCATTGCTGTCAGCATACAACATCAAATGTGCTGGAAACTCTTTGTGAGTAAATTCTGTCACTTAAAAATAGTGTATTGACAGGTGTTAAGCATATCACACCAGACGGTACTAGGATGTGAGTTCTTGGATATACCAACGTTAGTGCGGCTTGTAATGCACAATAAAATACCCTAAAGATGTATTGTTTTGTGAAGCTCAGTAAGCTTTATTTATACTCTTTCTTAAATCAGTTCAAAAAAGTTTTGCTGTCAATTATCCAAAATTTGCAGTGTAATTGCCAAACACTTGACCTATCTAATGACCATACTATACCGTCTTAAGTATGCCAATTCTTCTAGTTCAAGCATGTCAGTCTGCATCTTAGTCCACTGTTCTTGCTTTAAAAGTTCAGAGTATCTGATGGCTTCCAAACTCTTTGTGATTTGGAACGTTTAGCTCATAGAGTTGAGTCCTAATTCATTGCCACAAGATAATCTCTCGATGTTCAGATTTATGTCTTTTATTTTGTTATTTTGAATATCTCCAAATATCGACAACAGCAGTTAAACTGAGACTGTTGGACAACACTTGGCTTTCTAAATCTCTCATGGCAACACTATATGCATAAAAAGTCCTCTTAATTTCGCATTTGAAGTGCTGGTCTTTAGTTTTAGTCAATTCCCGTTCCAGATTACGAGGTCCTCTGAATATCTGCGCCAGTTTGTCTTCACAGCTTCTTTCTTCTTTTAAAAGTTTTTGAAAATTTTTACACCCACATGGAAAACATAAAGTTATTCAACCTCTATCCATACACAGAAGTAAAGGTAAGCGATGAGACACTTGTTCCATTTATCAACGTGTCGGCACCAGGAATATTTCCTCATACATGCACCAAGATTAACCTTGGCCGATTTGGAAAGGCTAAGACAAGCATTGTAGAGCGGTTTGCTGTCCATCTTATGCAACATGGAAGAAACTCTGGAAAGAAAAGACTGGTTATAAGACTGTTTAGAGAGGCCTGCGTCATCATGCATAAACTGACCAAGGAGAACCCAGTTCAACTGCTTGTCGACGCATGTATAAATGCGGGCCCAAGAGAGTCATCGTCACGAGTGGGAAGAGGAGGAAATATGAAAAGAACGTCTGTAGATGTTTCTCCTTACAGGAGATTGAATATTGCACTGAGGCTTCTGGCTGAAGGCATTAGGACCACAGCTTTCAAAAACAAGAAGACTATGCCCGAGATCATTGCTAACGAGATAATGGCAGCAGCAAAGAACAGTCAGAACTCCTATGCTGTCAAGAAAAAGGAGGAAATTGAAAGAGTGGCCAAGTCTAATCGTTAAATTTTTTATATTTTCATTTTATACTTTACATCGCTGCCGTTATGATCTGTTTAGTGTTATATATCCATGCTTGATAGCGTGAAGTGGGATTGCGCAAATGTTATTGAAGAGGGTTTTCAAACTAGCATATTTTTAGCTTGGTGGTCGGCATTTATTCTACAGTTGACATTATTCTCGATTTCGTACTACAAGTAAACAAATCTTTTCCTTCTTGCACTCGAGCATATACAACTGCACACATGTTGTAAAAATACTATTTATTCTTAATTTAGACTATCTGCACGACCTTTTCGCTGCATTCTTGCACCCCCTTTCTGCCAAGTTGGTGCACAGTCAAACGTCTCATTCCTCCTTTGTCCTCCCTATTGTTTGCAAAATTCACCACCCTGCAAATGTCAACAAATGAGTTGATAAACAAGTTAAAGGCCCAGCAGGATGCTTTGCCATCAATAAAAGAGCTCAAGGTCGGAACTGAATCGTTTGAGCCTATCTTCTCAATCGCAAGTACAATTCTAAAAACAAAATCCCTTATCGATGAAGGTACTGATCCCATTTTCACTGAATTACTGTTGCCCCATCTAGCAACAACCTTTGGGCCACCACTTATTGCTAACGCAATCTATCCCCGATTCAAATTTTCACAACGCGATCTGGTCGTCTACCTTATTGGCTTTATTCTGTCGCTGTTTGTTCACTCAAATAGCTTCCTAATGTTTTTTATCAAAGAAGTACCATATGTTTCCAGGTTTTTCTCTCTTGTAAAAATGAAGAACTCAACAGAAGACACTTTTCTGATGTTCTGTTGGGTTATCACCTGTGACATTGCGGGACAGTTTATATCGAAATTGACTTTCAAGAAAAAATTCAAGGTCAAGACACTAGATCTCCTGAAAATGGTAGTTGTTTACGGCGGAGTGCTTGCTCTTAGACAGTACAGGATGCCTGACTATTACGTTATTGTTGTGGCTAATATTGTGCCTTTGAGCATAAAAGCAGTTGAATATTTAAAGAAAGTACCAGCGATGAAGATAAAACACACAGAATGTATTAAGGAAGAAGACAAGAAAGCTCCAATTAGGAAGGCACCCAAGAGGAAAGCAAGTCTTTCTGCAAAACTTGAAAAAAGTAAATGAAAAACTCATCACAGTTGTATTTTATACTGTCTTTGGATTAGACGTCTTTTTTATATAGATAGTGTTGTTGAAAGTTACACTTAGCAAAAACTTTGGCAATCTAGCAATCACTATATCCAAAAAACATTATTTAATTGTAAATCTTGAATCCAATAAATTCAGCATTCTGATGCAAACATCTTCTGCAAAGATTAATATCGCACATTCTATTAAACCCACGATGGTTGTTGCATCTTCTACATCTTCTCTGTCCTTTTCCACCGTGAACTGCATGTGAATTTGGAAGCTCTTTCTCTACATCAGATCTTACTTTCAAATCGTGTGGCATGGGTGCAAAATTTTTTAAAATTTTAACAGAAGGAGACTGAGCTAAACAATAGAAGAAGCTCAAAAATAAATATGGAGGTGCCACGGGTGAGCTCTAATAAAACTGCCTACATTTCAAGCGCTATCTGTGCATCGTGGACAAAATAAACGCTGCAACTACGTGCCCTTGGATAGCCACACGGCAATTGAATGGCCCATTTCTATTGCCTTGATGCTGTTTACTGTCTGAAACTTTACCTTAAATAATTGTCGAAACAAAAAACAATGGTTTTGGTAGAAACTGAGAAGGAAAATACAATAACTCTGAAAGATTGCATACAGTACTTTCTTATACTTATCGTTATCCTTTTGCTTACATTAGTATACGATACAATTAAAACTAAGATCAAAAAAATACTTCAAGGACATCAAAATGGAAGCTCAAAGGAAAATTCAAGTAAATAGAGAGCATGGTCTCTGATGCATTTAAAGAGTGATTTGCCGCTGCACAAGCACAAAAGTACAATTTGCTGGCTTCTTGCTGGGAAGCATTGTAAATCAGCCAATGGTTCTTCGCTATTTGTAACTAAAATAATAAATAGAGAAAATTATACCCATCCATGATTTGCATTCTAAAGCTCATAGCAGTCCTTCATCCAAAGAATGTAGTGTGCAGAGATACATCTAATATTCAAAGTGAGGAGATCTCAAATGGGCCCTTTGAAATCTCCAAGCAAGCTCTGTTCAAGTATGAAACTGGGGATATCTCCGGAGCACAGAAAATATTCTCAGAAAACTGGAGCAAGTTTTCTTCAATAGAGCTGTTTCAAACGAGCTATCTTTCCTTTCTTCTTAAAACCGGACAGTACCAGAAGATGTTTGAACTAAAAAATATTCAAGGTGAAAAAAACATTGAAATGCTGCAACAAGCTAAAGAGTGCTTGAGAAAGCTACTGTCAAACGATCCTAAGCAGATACTGTCTCTCATAGAGATATCTCCCGACTCCCTGGAAGCTAACAGTGCTGTTATCAAGCAACTCATTAAGTCCGGCGATGTTCGCAAAGCTCAGCAGTATCTGGTGCAGCTTGAAAAAGTATATCCGCGGAACAATGAAGTCCTGAATCTGCGTATAATGGTTGACATATCACTAGAGAATATAGGCAGCGCTATGGATGCTTTGAAAAGAGCTGATTTCAATCTACATACAACCTTCAAAACACTATATACAACCGTTCAATCGATTCTCAGCATATCCGACATTGACATGAAGCTGAATAGACTCCTGGGAATGTATCGAGAGCTGTATGGCCTGCAGTTCAGCTCCCCAGACACGTTTGGATTGTTTTCGTATCTCTATAGATTTACCCTGAGAAAAATTGTAGAGATAGGATGTGACAGTCTTAAACCTGTGGAGTCATTTGCTAGATTGCTCCTAAAACTAGAAAAGAACGAATTTTCAATATTTTACTATATTAAATCACTAATTATAGATAGAAAATTGAAGACGGCGCTTGATGAGCTAGCCAACTATGACAAGGAGCTGGGCCACAATGCAAAAAATAGTCTCAAGCAATTTGTACAGCAAATGCAGAGTAAGATTGACGAGGAAGAAAAGGCCAGGGAAGAGGAGAGAAGGAGGCAGAAAGAGTGGGAGCAAAGAGAACGACAGCGCTCATATGAGAGACAGGCAACAAGCAAGGCTGGACAGGACTTTCTGGGATACTACAAGGCATTGGGCGTAGACAAGGCTGTTACGGCAGATAATCTGAAAAAAGTTCATCGTAAGAAAATACGAGAGGCTACTAAAAAAGCAGCTAAAAACACTAGCATTACACAAGAGCAGAAGGATGGCGAAGCCAAGCTTATCAATAAGGCGTTCCAGATACTATCAGATCCCGAGAAGAAGAAGATGTACGATCTCGGCATAGATCCCGAGAAGGGCCCACAATATGGAGATCGCCAACACCAAGGATATGGCTATGGATCAGGTGGACCGTTCTTTGATGAAGATCAAATCAACGAAATCTTCCAATCGTTCTTTGGCGGCGGTGGAGGCAGACGAGGCGGCGGTAGATATCAGAGGAGAACCCAGTATATTTTTTTGTAGTTGCAGCCAATATCACGAAAGTTTAGTTATACGGGCACTTGTCTGAAAATACTACTTATCTTCCTGGTTTAAAATATTAAATTACAGAAATATCAATTCGTTTTTCAAGCTGTATCTTTAGTATAATTTAATAAATGCATGGACTTTTAGATAAATGAAACTAAAGAAGCAGCAATGCACATTTGGATGTTAGCCGGTTTCTGGCAGTTCTTAAATAAACCGATTCTGGTTCGCATAGTATCCTAGCTGGATTCCTGTGCTGCTCCATCGTTGATTTTTTATTCAAAGGGTGATACAAATGTAGATTTATCTTCATGCAGCTTTTTCATGTCTTCATTTTCATCCTCTTCTTTCAAAGCATATTCAGTCTCCTCTATGCCTGTCTGGAACCGAGAAATGTCGTGTGAGAATATACACTCGTCACCCTTTGAACAGCCATTTTTAGCGTAGAACTTACACAAGATATTTGGGAAGTACGGGCTGTGCTTTTTCTTTATCTTTTTTGGTGCCTCTAGAACTTCGTCCTTGTTTAAATACTTTGAAATATAGACTTTTGAATGATGGGTTGGAACATTCAGCTTCCTGAGCATTAAATGGGCTCGGTGAAAAGCAGCCTATTCGTCGGAGATGCATGCACTCTTAGTAACAAAATAAAGCACGTACAGTTACATTAAATGTGTATAATATCCAATACATCATTCCTCAATAGACTTATTGGTTAAAACGACTAATTTTAATCTTTTCTCAAGTTTTCATAAAACTCAATCATCCTTTTTACCTGTCCCTCGTCAGGCCTTTCTGTTTCATCTATTATGCTTTCTTCATTAACGCTGCCAATACCATACTCGTCTGGATTGTCTGTCATGCTGAACGAATCTGATGTATTCGGACTTTCTGAGATACCCAGCTGTTCGTTGTTAAATAAATTGTCGGCCGCTCCATCAGCATTCTCCTGCTGAGCAATCTCGCTCTTGTTTTTTCGATCACCTCTGTGCAGTATTACTTCAAACTCGCTTTTTTCAGGCATTGTAATATGAATAACAACATTTTCTGCATCATTTTTAATTTTCTTGACACTCTTTGAAGATATACTTCCCATGGACGGGATATTTGTGCTTCCCATTCCACTGGATATGCTATGCTGATCTTCATACAGCTGCGCCTTCGCCAGGTCGTTAATCATATTTGCCACTTCGCTTTCGGATGCATATGCCGTATCCTCCTGCATGCCATTCTCCGCATATTCATCTGCTGACTGGTTTATAACTATGTTACCGACATCTTGCAGCGACTTTTCAACTGGATAATTATTCACTACAAAGATGGGCTCCTGCGCATTCCTGATGGCAGCCCGATCTGTAGATCTCCGGCCTTCTGGACTGGGCATTAGATTCTTTATCATTTCAACAGGATTGGCATTATTTGTCTGCTTTTCTCCAAGGTTGTTAAGATGGCAGGCCCTGGCTAGAGTTTCATTTTCAGGCCCCAGCCCTGCTTTTGGCTGAGCAGCAGGTGGACTAATATTTAGGAACGCACCTGCTTCTTTGTTCACCATCTCTGCATTGGGAGACACTGCTGTGGTTGTGAAAAGTTGAGGCGGTATTTTCATATTGGCTGAGTCTCGGCCGGCAATGTTTGAACATGGAGCAGGAGCACAATTCATTGGTAAAAGAACGTTGTCTGCAACATTTTCTAGCTTGCTAGAGGCTGCCGTTCTTGGAGCACTATTTCCGGCCATAATGATTTTTGGCGAATAGTTGGCATTAGCCTTAGATGACAAGCTTCCAGCATTGTTTCCAGCTATGGGCAGATTGCCACTGGTTTTATTAGCTATGACGATATTAGGCAAATCTGTACTTACCTTCCTGGATGTGTTGGGCTTTAAACCAGCAGCCGACAGGTTACTCTTTATGCTCTTTCTACTATGCTCTTGCGGCTGTTCTGCAAGCTTCTGAAGCGTCTGCTGCATCTCTCTCAGACTCATTGTAGATTCCTCACCATCTTCAATATCTATTACCCTAATATTCCCCTTGTCCTTTCTTGAACGCTGTTCATTGCCTGTGCTTTCATTTTTGGTGGTAGTTTTCTCCAAACCACCATCCTTGTTTTCGTCCTCAGGCGTCATATGATCATCTGGCTCCTCGTTATTTAAAATATCAAACTGTTTCAATCTGACACAGCTGTTTTGAATGTCCATCTGAAATAAAGCGACATTATTGGACCCATCCCCTAAATCTGAAATGCTATCGATTATTTTAATCTTATATTTCTCTCTATTTCCGTCTATGTTTTTGATTGAAAACTCTGAGCCGTTGTTTTTGAGCGTGTCTTTAAGGTTTTCTAAAAACTCCGGGTTGTTTAAAGGCTCTTGAGATAGGTGTGCTGCAGAAAACTCAATAATATACTCTATCTGATCGGCATCATTCTTTGTCATAGTTAATGAGTTTATTATGAGATTTAAAATATTCACATGAGCTTGAAACAATAGGGGCCAATCGGAATCGCCCAGGGCAAGCTCTCATTTACATGTGTTCAATGGTTACCGTCCACCTCTGCATACAGTTTGCCATGGCACAATGTGCTTTTATGTCACTTTGATGCATAATTGTATTCTCGATCTTTCTATTTTTTACTTGCCTTCTTTATTTATTTACCTGTCTTTCATCTGAAAATTTTTACAAGAGCAATCTCAAGCTTGCCCTGTATATGATAAAAAGCGATAGCCCAAAGGGGGACACCATATCTGCAGAAGAAGATCAGATCACAGTAAGAAAATTCCCCAAGGGCAGCAAGTTTGGTGTTCGGGAATTTGACATTATTCTGTATTCTCTAGGAGTCGTTCCTTATTCGATAATCCGTGAATTTGAAAGTTTACCTCTGAGGATTGCAGTGAGCTTGCACAATTCCACTGAACCTGATCATTCGGGATATATTTCCACCTCACAGCCATTGCCAGCGCACTGCTTCCAGGGAAAGCCCTTGGGAGACGAGAAGGCTGATCTGCCAACAATGCTACAAACCATCGAGTGTCCCCTGAGTCAGATTCAGAACATCACTTCAAAAGCTAGCTTAATGATTAACTTGTCGGCAGACTCACTAGTTACTGTTAAAACCATAATTGAAGCCTGCATTGCAACAAGTACAAACTATGCCGACTGCTGTACAAATATCGAAGTTATAAAGCAAATATTTGCGTGCTATGGCCGAGACACAAGTATAAAAGTTATTCAGGGATGTGCCCATATTCCATTTTTAATTGATTTGGGCGTTTTTTCATTAGGAAAAATACACGAAGTCAAAGAGGTGGAGGCTACTGTAGTTTGCTCTCGGGAATGTAGCACCTTTGGCCATGCGATATTAGCGTATGAAAGCAATACTTTTAACAGTCTCAGATATAACTATGAAACCCAGGCATATGAAATCCTCTTGCACGATCCGACAGATTTTATACTAACAAAAAGCAGACACTATTTCAGAAAAAAAGGCATATCCCATGCCAGATCTAGTGCTTACGTAAGTATCAGATATATCTTTGTGTTTTTAATTTACTTTTTTATTGTATCGATGTTTTCACATTTCACAATTACAAAGAAGTATATTTCATTATATAAAAAGGCACGAGCTGGCGTAGGCAGCAATGTATCCAGCAGCATAGCCAAAATAATTTTCAGCGGAAATGCAACCAAGCACGATAAGCATGTTAAAATGACTATCACGGCATCCAAACAAAAAAACGACATCTCTGCAATTTGTCTTTCACAAATAGCTGCAACGCTTATTGAAGATACAGTAGTATCAGAAACAGGAGTGCTAACACCAGCAATAGCTCTACATGAGACAAGAATAATAGAAAGATTAGCATACAAACACATAAAGTTTCAATATTTCTATTCGGAGTAGGAAATGCATTGTACCGTAAAGGTATTTGCTATTCTTCCAAAATTTAACTATTAGCCTATCAAATACACCTTCATGCAAAATGATTGAGAACCCGCTTCTTATCTTCTGGCTGCCGTGTCATCAGGTATGTTATCATGTCCTCTTTTATCTGCTTGTTATACTTTACTATCCAAGATGCTTCTCTCATATTTTCCAGTACTTCTAACAGTCTTAAATTTTCTGCATTTTGCTTTGATGAAAGTTCCTTGATCTGTTCCACACTTAAATTTGCTGCTCTTATAATGCCTGCTCTGGCCTCAAATGCAATGTTAGATGACCCAGTTTCTGTGCTGTTTTTTATAAATTCTTTTACAAGATGCTTTTGCTCTATGAAGCTTTTGGACGATGTCGAAATCGCCAGCTTTTCGATTGGCTCAAAGACAGTGTTTATCCAATCCCTTACAAACCTGTTTTTATCTTTTAGATTGATCTTTTCCATCAAGTTTACTAGCTCAGGCAAGTAGAATATGCTACTTCCCAGACTCAGTGCTATCCTTGCTCTGGTAAACTCACTCTTTGGGATGTCCTGTCTGTATTCGCGGTACAGCTCTTCTTTTTCTCTATTAATCGTCTCTTGGATATCTAGATTTTCATATACTGCTTCATATATCCTGCCGATCATCTGCCGATACTGTTTGTCTAACATAGGATCATGGATCGCCTTTCCCTTTAGGGCTCCAATACATTTTAATATTTGATCTTGTTTATCTCTTATTAGTTCCTTAAAGATGAAAGATTCATCACTTTGGATTAAATTTAATCTTTTTATCAGAAAGTTTTTCATGGGCCCCCTTTCATTGATCGTTTCGCTAAGATTGAATACCTTCGCCGCATTATCCACATGCAAAAGTATGTTTTTCTTGACGTCCAAAATGCTATCAACTATCCCACGTACTTCGTTTTTGTTCATCTTGCCTGTGCCTATTTTAAAGGTGAGTGCGTCTATTGGAATATATGACTCATATAAAATGACTTTTAGTGGATCATAGCGTAAAGTGCAGGGATCGGTGTATTCTATGTGAGGTGTAGTGATTGGCGAAAGTAGGGCAGAGTATAAAAGCCTTGAAAATCCCATTTGTCTCTGTGATGTGTGGAAATATAAAAGTGTTTCATGCTAGTTTGAAAATGAAACAAAGTCTCCAGCGACAGAGAGTATTAAATCGGTACAAATAGAAACATCCTGGCCATTCTAAATAAGCTTACCAACAACAGAGATCAAATAAGAGGCGTGATTTGTTGGTGACTGTAGATAGATCTAGCATATACACAAATATATAGAGATTTTAGCAAATTAACTCCGTAATGGAGTAAACCATATAGTGTAATATCAAACCACAGCATTAGATGAATATGAAGACACAAGTACATTCAATCATAAATTTACTAATGCTGCTCAGACAAATTTTCTGCTGCTTTTGTGGAATTTTTTGTCAGATTTGTTCCTGCCGAATGACCGATTGTCAAATTTACCTTTTTGCTTTGGAAAATTAAGCTTTTTTTTAGAATTGGCACCATTCTTATCTTTTACCGCTCTCTTTTTATCGTTGCTTTCTTTGTTTTTTTCAACTTCTTCTCTTGGAAGAAACCTGTCCTTGAAAATGAACTTATCCTTGTATGCCTCAAACTTGGAATTGGCAGTGAAATCCGCAGCCTTCCTGCTTGGATCTAGCTTAACTGATACATAAACATCGTCCACCGGACCGAAAACTTCGTCTATTTTGCCAATTTGCTGCTTCTCAAACAGTACTGGTGCATTTGGATATGGAATGTCTCGGTGTCCAAGCTTTAAGACCAGCAGATCACCCGCAGGGTGAACGAGTGTGCCTAGATGGACGCTTTCGGTTGTGAAGGACTTCTGGACACTGTGGCGCTTCTGGTTTGCAAACTTTGCCATTCGGTAAAAATTTTCAAACAAAAAATAAAAGCCAGTTAAAATATGAAATGGCAAGGCCAGAAGGAGAGATGCACATTTATATCAGGCATCTATTTAGCATTCTTGAGCTAAAACACTGTAACGTTGTCTTAATACACCCTCTTCTTCTTTGCATTAATATCCTTGTCTTCCGGAATATATTCCATTGAAAACAATCCACTCTTCAAATTAGGTGCTCTAATTAAATTTTCTTGATCCGCCTGGGAAAGTGGCTTGGAGTTGACTTGGTCGGCCGTAGACTGCAGAAGAGCTCTTGGAGGTGCTGGAACAAAGTGCTTGCCTATTTTTGTTTGCAATGCAAGCTTCAAATCCTTGCCTGCTATTACATTTCTCTCGCAAAGTTTGGCATACAAAAGCGCATCCTCGAGAACATCACACGAGTATTTGTATGCAAATTCCAGCAGCTGTACAATTACTTTTGGTTCACATTCCTCTATCCCCAGGGACCTAAGAATGATTGAGATTACCTTTGCGTCTCTTGGAGCTAGATTTTCATTGCTCATAGCACGGATGGGTCAAAAGTAATCTACCAAATGAAACACATGTAAGCAAGTTGCCTGTGGATTATGTTCAACACATAACGGTATATTGTTTTCGACTATTGCCTCCAATCCTAATGCCGTGAGACCTTAATTAAACAGTATTATAGATACACACCCTTAACTTATCGTTTTATATTAAATGCGAATTTTATGCAGAAGCATCTTGGTCATTTTAATCGATGCTTGTGTCTTAGATAACAGCTGTAAAGTCTATTAAGTTTTTATTTGAACCTCCTTTCATTGAAATACATAAAAATTACACACCCCACTTATGAAACAAAACCTTCACGTATCTTGCCAGCTACAAGCATCTAGGACCACTACAGATTATAATCAAAGACCTTGGCGCCACCGTGGTGTCCATTCTGGGAATTAGAACGTTCAACTTTTCAAGATTGCCAAAAAGCAGAAATAACAAATACACAATCCTTAAACTTGCGCTTAGAAGCTACCTCAATTTATTTATCGATAATTTTGATAATCTGGATTCGGATCAAAAGCAGCAGTCCAAAGCTGAATCAAAGCGGGGGAATGATGGCGGACTAATGGGGTTTATTATGCGTTTTGTGTCGACCCTAACGCTGGATAGTGCGGATCCTATTGAAAAGCTAAAGGGATTGATTTCAAAAGACCATAAGCATTTTGATTATGAAGACATTGGAAACTTCATGGAGGTTGGTGGTTGTGATAATATTTTAGACATATTTCATATTCCGGTTTTGGTTCAGTTTGAAAACTTTGAGCAGGATTTTGAAAATGAATTATTTTCAGACAACCAAACTTTAGCAATTTCTGAAAAGGAAGTGTATTCACTCAAGATTCATCATAAGCCTATTGAAAACCATGAAAAGAATAGAATTTTAAAAAACTTTATTGTTTCTGAGATAAGCTTTTATCGTCAACTGAAAGAGTACCAAGATGAGAGCTTTAAGAATATTGTAAAGATATACGAGGAAATTGCTGAAAGTCTGTTAAAACAATTCTTTAATGCAGACCTGACAAATATTACAGCATTATTTGATAATGCCGAAAATCCCCCAGCGATTTCATCCAGCTGCATCGCCAAGATATATCTGGACAACTTTGACTCGTTCTTTACATATTTTAGCTTTATTACTGCGTTTGAGCGTGTGCCAGCTGACAATTACGATTTGAAGATGAAAATGACAGATGTCTTGACCAAGTTAACAAGCTATTCTAAAGCTTTCAATAATATTTGTGAAATAGATGACACAAATGAAGCCAGAGAACTCTCCCTGAAGTTTTATAGATTAAACAGTCTCTTGAATGAGCATTCTGAGAAGCATCACTTAGCATCATTCAACAACCTTAGAAAGATGCTTTCAAAGAAAAATTCTATCCTTGAAAACGAAGATATCTTGTGTGCAGTAAACTGTACAGACCTAAATGCAGATGCTAGATATAGAATACTGCTATTTACCAATCATATAGTTGTGGTCGATAAACATAACGATGCAAAGATGACCTCTAGAATACACAATGTTGACATCGTACTCTACAACAAGTTCCTATACTTGATTTTGCCCGAAAATATCAAACCTCTCCTTCAATTCCAGAAAATAGCGAAGGAATATAAGCTTGACCAAGACAACACTTCTATTGTTGCATTTAGATCGTTTAACAGAGAGGCTACTGAAAATTTCCGTGAGAGGTATTACCAGGCAAAGTATAAACTCAAAAAGAGGGATGGATATTTCTATTGCTTCTTACATCCCACAGGCCATACTTGTGAAGACAGCTTGGATAAAAGTACCAGTGATTTCTCAACTGATACCTTTCATGATAGAATTGTTGTCTCTAGTCTTGGAGACCCAGAACCTGATCAAGGTATTCATCGGAATGTAAATAATGAAGAAATGGTGCATTGTGTAAAAATAGAGGACTACTGTTTTCGAGTCGGTGGAATCGAGAAACTTACACAAAAGGAGCTTTTAGAGCGAATAAACGAGAAGGTTAAGCAGAAACGAATAGAGGTGATGAATATTTCCAAGAATCTCAACACAATCATGGCAATAATAAAGCATGCGGATGAAAGTAGATTAAAGCTCACCAACATAGATGTGTATCCTGAAGACGAGGTGATGTTCCAGAGAAAAAGAGAAGTTTTTGAGCAAATCTGTAGCACGATTTTGAAGTCAAGTAACGAGCCGGACCAAATGAAATATTCAGTGGAGAATATTGTACAGCTGTTGGAAGAATCAATCATCAACGAATGCAGTGACGCAAATAAGCATTACAATAGAGTGTACTACACGTTACTGTATTCCCAATCAGGCACCGAATGTATATCCTACTTACCAAGTTTGGAGGATAAGATAGTGTTGCTGTGCATGTTGGTACACAGAAACCTGTACTATTTCTTTGATTCCGAGGATCTGGAAAGGTTAAATGAAAATACGATTCATTGGGACCCAGCTGAGAAAATGAGGGGGTTCAAGAGCTATACGTTGGAGTATTTCAAAAAAATTATTTCTGTCATCAAACACCTTCGTTATATTGGCAAGGACGTATATAAAGAGATGCTAGTCCGAGTGATGCTCGCAAAGCCCATCATTTAAGCTATTAAACAATACAATCCCATGTGGATTTGTTAAAATATACTGCTCACTGGCTGCTCTCATCTATCCTCTTGCCTTTGAAACATCCCTCAAATATCCTGTCAAGCTCCAAATCTATTCTTGGTCCAATCTCAGACACGCCTTTAATCAAATAGTTTCTGATAGATACGACTCCGTTCAAATAAAAGAAACATAGCGCCCGCTCTTTCTGAACATCCTCCTTGCATTTAAATGCAGTTTCTAGCGCCGTTTTGGCTATTTTTAATTTTTCATTTTCTTCAAAATCCTTTGTAAACAGAATCACGTGTCCTGCATTCTTGTGGTAGTTATTGATGGTAGATAGATCAAATACACTTTGGTGTGACAGGATACCAAATTTCAGTGTTACTGACGGAGTTGCTATCCAGAGTCTGCGTGCCCTTTTGCTTATTTCAAAAAATACTGTGTTTTTGCAGTCATTCACATCCATGTATTTCACAAGAAGAGACACCTCCTTCCTAACATCAAAATTATTCTCTACAACGGAGTCTATCATGTTGCTCAGGTCTTTGATGGTGCTTTTTGTTGCTGGATCGGCTCCTTTTGTAGCTACGAGCATCGTTGACATAGGAGGCGAAAATTTTTCCAAATAAAAGCAAAGTGAATAAAAATGCCACAAGGCTATTATTTGAGTGAGCATTATATAAAATCATGAACACTACAAGGCTAGAACTTTGCATTCTCTATCGTATTCATCGTAATATCCAAACATTCCCAGTTAATGCAAACCACTTTACTTCTTTCCTGCCCTTGGAATGAAGAGTAAACTCTTGAAATTTCACGAAAGCTGTGCTCAAGAATACAATGAGCTTCTCAAACATTTTAATCTTCTCTTCTATGGATATGGATGCAAAGAAAAAATACTCGAGAGGCTTTTTCCAAAGGCTAAGAGATTCAATATGCGCTTTTCGTCTCCAAAATCCATTGCCGAGGATCTTCTACTACAGGGCTATGGAAGTAGTCCCGAATCAACCATAAACGACATTGATAACTGGCTGGCCTCACGTGGCATGATGCTTTGTCTTGTGTTGCTCAACTTTAGAGTTGAGAACAGAGAGTTCTCAAGTCTCAAAAACATCAAAATTATTGCAACTATTGAAAGCATCGATATTAAATTTGAGCTAGAAGACCTTGAAACATTCAACTTCATATTCAGAGATCTTACCACGTTTGAGGATTACGAAGAAGACACCATCGATATTGAATTGCTTGAGAACAGGGTGCAAAATGTCCTTATGGTATTGAATAATCTATCAGCCAAATCAAAGGCAGCATTCAAAGCACTTTTGAAGCAGGGCAGTTGCACAACCCACACGCTATACGATGCAGTTAAAAAAGACCTATTCCTTACAAAATCTGCCTCGCTGATTGATCTTCTAAAGGAGTTTGTTGATCACAAAATTATCAAAATTCATGAAAACAGAATCATAATATTCCTGAATAAACAGGAGGTGAAAAAAGTCCTGGAAGATCCAGTATTGGCAAGGTAACATGCTGCATCTCACATAATTATTTGAACTTATTAAAGACCAGAGTATGCTTGATCTGCGATATCCATGAATAAGCAACCCCTATCTAAGCTGTCTTCACTGACAAATCCTTTTCATTGTGTTAACAAAAATACGGCGTTTCAAAGATGATTAAAGTTAGATACAGATACCTTACCAAAGTTGGGGCTAATTTAAAAACAAACAGCCTGTTTCACAAGATAAATAATTCAAATGGTAAATAGCCCTACATGTTTTCAGTCTTAGTTGTCCCAACTATACTGGCAAGTTCAGAATATGCAGCTCTAACCCCGGTTGAGGAAATTCATCCCTTCAAGCTGCTGATCATTGAGGAAAAGCTAGATGAACTTATGAAATCTATAAGTAAAACTATAAAGGAGATTGAACGAAGTACAGCTGGGTGCAACAAGAATATTATGAATGATAAAATACTTAAATATGCCTGGAACTTATCAAATATCCCATTGAAGAATTTTCCCGTTTTAATAGAGCATATCGAATGCCAAATAGTTGATATTCAAAAGAGCATTGCTGATCACATTAGCAAAATAAATGAAGTCAAAGCAAGAAAGACGAAGAGCACGAAGGAGGTGAAGAGCGGTGTGAAAACGGAGCAATTTTTATTTATTGACTGTCTTTATTGTCTTATCGATTGGAGGTCGAGAAAGAAATTTGGAAGACTGTTTGATCCAAAAATCTTAATATTTATAAAAAAACTCGAAAACAAGGCTGCTTATAAAGTGTATTGTTTAAAAAATGAGATTGAAGACATAAAACAAAAGATACGCGATGTTTTAAAGAAGAATGTCGAGTTTGTTGACGAGCATTTAATCGAGACATCAAAGGAAAAGAAAAAGGACGAGGAGGACATTGTTTACAGCAATGGAGACAACACCAAGCTAATAAGTGTCAACTTGATGCCATTGCTTGGCCAGTGCCTTGAACTATGTTTATTTGTGGCTGTCTTGAGGGGCTTTGTGGAGATTTTGAACAAGTATGGACTACCGCCTGATTTTAAGTACAAAATTATGAAAAGTGGCAGTGTTGAAAAAGAATTGAAGAAATTGAAGAGGAAAAGTAAGGAAGAAAACATCCATGATATGGTAGCCATCGTAGATCTGCCATTTTAAAGCACATGATAGAGGTGCATAACCAAAGGAAAATGACCGTATGGGCCGCATTAGTATTAAATAGCCAACTATTAAGTTTCAATGTCTTGCTGCCAGTAACGCTTATTTAAGATTAGCATTCCCAGATTTGTTTGTTATTTCAGCACTTTTATTATTTGATGTTAATTACATGACCCTGTTCAGTTTCAAAAGCTTGTCTTTGTCTTCAACAGTCTTGCAGATTATTGGAATCGACGTCCCACACCTTATTGCCTTGTTTAATTCACAGGAGACATCCACCAAAATATAGCAGCTCTTATGCACAACCAACAAGCAATCTCTACAGCAGTATGCCTGATTTACGATTCCATATAGCACTTCGTTGCAGTGCTCACACAGTGTTCCTTTTGCAACTGTCGTCTCATAAAATAGGTGGCTCTTAAACTCATAAACCTTTTCGCAGTCATCAATACAACTATCAACTATTGTTGACTTCTTGGCCCTTTCTATTTCTATCTTTAGCTCCTCTATTTTCTTCAACGACCCCTTCATCTGTAGCTCAGCTTCCTCTTTACTCTTTCCTTCAAGAACTACCAGTAGATCTCTGAGCCCTTTTCGAATCTTTTCTTCTTTTTCCAGGTCTGTCTCCAGTGCCTTTAAGCTTCTTCTTGATCCTGAGCCTGATGAACATCCAACTGGCTCTTTCAGGAAAAACATCTGCAAAGACAGCGACCTTCGCTTTTCGGACAGGTGGTGCAGCTCGTTGTTCTTCAATTCTCGCACAAAGACCGTATTAATCAGATACTCTTTGCTGTCCACCTTCATTGTCCCATTCTCTATTGAAATTTCCACTTCTTTGTTTGATAAGGCATTTACAGTCTTTACAACAAAGTTATTGAACGATCTTGAGGCTTCTTTCAAAGATTTTTTGAGAACTTTAATCTCTTCTTCCAACTTTCTTCTTAAAACTAGCTCATTCTCGATCTTCTGTTCGTATTCTCTAATTTCACTCTTTTGCATTCTCAGCTGTTTTTTCAAATCCTCCAAACTTTTATTTTCGTTCTCCTTCTGCGAGCTGGCGATAATCTCATTTGATAGATTCTGGTTCTGTTTATAAAGCCAATATGCTGTCTCCTTTATTTCATCAAGCCTGTCTGTGAATTTAAATCTCTCTATTGATTTTTTAATATCTTTCAGATCTTCTGCTATCCCAGCAATATTAATCCCTTCCGATCTATCAGAGGAAGCCACCCCTAGTTTCTCCACAATATCCGTCCTTATTTGTTGCAAATGCTCCTTGGCCATTTTAATCTCTGTTTGTATTTGCTCAAGCACTGCTTTCTTTACAGATATTTGATCAAGAGTACCTTGTAGACATTGGTTGAGCGACGACAGCTGGGAAGATAATTCGTATTTGTTGCTCTGAAGTTCATTTACCATGTTCGTTAGATCGCTAAGCTCATTTATTTTGCACTGTATTGTTTTGGTGATTTCACTTAGCTTTGCTTTCTCACTTGGATGGCCCTCGATTTCCATCACGGCTCCAGACACAGTTGTGCCATCGTCATCGCAACTTTTGCACACACTGTCATTTGATACCACCCGATCTATTTGAGCTACACTGGATCCCGAACTTTTGTTGCTGATAACATTGTACGACTCTACAATAGAACTTAAGATATTAGAGACATGGTCAGGATCGTGTGTAAATCCTATAAAATTGAGAAACCCACTTTTAGCTGCACTTGTGTCCGGACTAAAGTCAGTATCAACAAAGTTACTGATGTCATCATCATTTGAAACATGGGGCTTGAATGGCGGATCTAGCTTTCTTAGATTGTCCCAGTCTATTTCCTTGAAAAAGCTATGGGTTTTAATCTCCTCAAACCCATATCTTATCTCCTTTCTGCATATTAAATTACTAATCAGGTCTTTAAATTCATCAGAAATCCCTTCTTCAAACTGAAAATCTATGCTTTGGATCTTTGAATATGTTTCCTTGAGCGAGTTTGAGTAAAATGGTGTTATTCCATAAAACATCTCATATAAAATCACCCCAATAGTCCAATAGTCTACTCAGATCCATACACAACAGTCTCGCCTGTTGAGCTCAGCACATCTGGGGAGATATAGTCGGGTGTTCCAACAGTGCTACTTGAGATTACCTTTCCGTTTTCCATCTTAACACAGCTGCCAAAATCTGCTAGCTTCACATGCCCTTCTCTGTCGAGCAAAATATTGTCTGGCTTTAAGTCTCTGTGTATCCATCCAGCCTTGTGCATTTCGTTGATTGCTGTGAATACCTCGGCTGCGTAGAACTTAATTTCCTCTTCTTTTAATATGTCTTTCCTGCTCAAGTATCCCAGCAGATCACCTCCGTGCACAAACTCCATGATGTAGAATAGGTGTGTTTCATCTTGGAGACACATATAGCTCTTCACTAGCCAGTCCAGGCCGTGGGTGGTCATTATCTCCTTCTCGTTCATGAAAAATGTCGCATTTTTGTTCTTCATAACTAGCTGCTTTGCTACTTTCTTCATGGCATATATCTTGGACTCTTTTTCTACCACATAGACCTCGCCATATCCACCCTTTGCCAGTTTTTTTAGAATTTTGAAATCGGAAGGTTTGGTCTTTCCCTCGTGAAGCTTGGTAGAGATGGCAGTTCTAAGCTCTCTATCAGCCGTTTCTGAAAAATCAATGAGCAAATTCAGATCTATTTCATGGCTCATGGGTAGAGTTATTTTCTCAAAAAAGATGAAAATAACAAACAGTAAAAACACACTAATAAATAAATATCATTCTTCTTCATTTTTATTATCTAGTGTAAAAGGATAATACAAAGGTTAAATTGCAGGGTATCAGACTTGCCGGATCACAAAATTGGACGCTGTGGCTGTCGCGCTAAAGGATCAATGCCGAGCTGCATAATTATGTATCTTGAGACAAAAAAGCTGATGCTTGCTTTCCATATTACTTAACGATTTCATAAATGAGGAGATGCTGTACTCTTGTTTCCAGAAGCAACTTCCAGTATTATAATGCATTTTCTTATTGATAAAACTGAGCTGTCGTGTATCGAAGCTATCTAGCGCATATTTTCCAGTTGATTTTGGTAGCTTGCAGTGCGTTAAAAAATTATCTGCTGAAGCTCCCAATGCTAAAGCAAAACAAAATTGTTGATAAACCAAGACTTTCGGCCGAATCCCTCTCAAAAGTACTCATTTACTACGAACCGACACTTCTGCAGTCAATCATGTCCTTTTCGAGTGTCAGAGATCTTTTAAACAACAATCCAGAAATTCTAAATGCATTCTGCAGAACAAGTGGGTATTCGAAACAAGAATGCCTAAGAATACTAAAGAGTAATAGCATTCTAATAAAGGCTATACAGAAGGGAATAGAGAATGTTGTTACTTTTAACACAAACCAGAGTGATATGACACAGTTGTCGGTATTTAACAAACTTGTCTATGTATCTTCGGATGATCAGACCTTGAAAGTGTTTGACTTTAATGGAACACCCGTAAAGAAATTCATAGGCCACATCGGTGGCATATGGACATTTGATTGCAGCGGGAATAGGGTTGTAACTGGGAGTACAGACAAGACTGCCAGAATTTGGGATTTGGACTCGGAACAGACAATAGTCACTCTGAAGTACCATAGAAGTACGGTAAGAGTGCTGAAGATATATGGAGAGTATATAATTACAGGTAGTAGAGATTATACAATCGCCATATGGAGTGTGTTTGGAGATCTTGTCTATCGGCTGAACGGGCACAGACAGAGTGTACGATGCTTAGACGTGTGTGATGGGTACCTAGCAAGTGGTTCGTACGATGGATATTGTAAGCTATGGGACTATAAAAGAGGAAAGTTTATCAAAGATGTCCATAAGCACCAAGACAAGATTTACTGTGTTAGAATCTATAATGACTACGTAGCCTCCTCTGGCTTTGATTCCGAGGTTAAAATATCCAAAATTGACGGATCCTCATACAAATCATACAAAGTTCACAGCTCAGTTGTTGGTTGGATGGACTTTTCAGATAATTTTCTAGTATCATCGAGCTTGGATGGGACGGTAGCAAAGTATAACTACATTTCAGAGACTGTTGACTTTGTCATACGGCTAGGTTGCCCAATCAAAGGACAGAGACTGACGGACACATTGATAATCATAGCAACGGTGTTTGACGTAAGAATATATTCTCTGCGCACCGGCAAGTTCATAAGGACACTAATTACGGCCGATCTGATAAGCAAAATCGAGGTTGTTGACTGGAGAATAATAGTAGGATATCAGCAGGGAGGTGAATATAAGATTTCAATGTTCAACTATGAAAGCTTGTAAATAACAAAAAACAATACAAACCCATTAAGTTAAATCACTGTGATTTATTTAATACATGTGTTTTAATGATAGCTAGAATCAGCAGTTATTCTTGGTTTCTATTTAAAACAATGACATTTATGGTAGCTTATAGATCTTAGTCCAATGTTTATTTAATGTAAAATCCCTATTTTGCACGCCTGGCATAACTCTCCCTCTTTTGATTTAACCCCGCACAACGCACACTCTTTGAACGACTTTGATGGCAAAATGGTGTCATAGCACAGCCAGGACTCGTCAATCTGATACACATCCTCGCCCTTTTTCTCACTTAAAATTTTTTTTGAGTTTTTGCAATCAGGAAATTTTTCGGCAATTTCATAGGCAGTTTTAAGGTTTCCATGCTTAAAGCATGTTGTTAAGGCCAGATTCTTTACAAGCAGGATGTGGATTCCTTCCAGCTCTAGATTTGAGAAAAACAAACTCATTTGTATACTTCTCTCTGGATCGACAATATTCCGCCTAGACTTTTCTATATGCAGCCCAAGTAGGTAATTTCCTATTTTCCTTCTTAAATCCGAAAAGTCTGTCGGCGTGGATATCCTCAGTGCAATCAATGCAATGCACTCTCTGAACATTTCAATGGCGCCAGAAAACTTCCCCTGTGTTGTCAACTCCAATGCATTCTCGTATAGATCATCAATTTCGGCTCCTCTCGTCTCTTCACTTAAGTCAATCTCAGATAAATCAAAGATTTGGGATTGAAAGTCTGAATCGTTAAAGGTAGCCTGGTCTGTTCGTACATTGCTTCCAGTGCTTCCATTATCTTCCTCGTAGTCCCTTGCCTTGTCATCACCACTTTGCTTCTCAAAGTCCTTAGTTTCGTTTTTCTGTGAAAGTGAAATACTATCAAAATTTTTACTCAGCTCTTCAGAGATATTCTCTGCTGTATCCTCCTCTTTCATATTTTCCTCCTCTGCAGTTTCCTGTAGAATATTTTCTTTACTACTTTTTGATATAACAGCTTTATCCTGTGTCATTTCCGGTGATACACTTTGTAATTTAATTTTGTCAGTGTACTTCCCACTTTGGGCTACGCCCTGTGTTTTGCCTTCCTGCTGCACATTTTTAGATGACTCAAAAATACTCCTGTCTTCAAATATAATCTTCACCATGTTTTCTATCTCCTCGCCCTCCAGCTCTTTTAATTTATCTAGCTGTTTGGTCGAAAGAAATAGGTAAAATAAACTTACGTAATCCTGGATTCTTTTAAAACAAGTCTCTGCCATGTCATAGCAGCCGTTTTTCAGTGAATGGAAAGCCAGCTCTTCAAACATTCTATTGTTTGAACAGAGCCTCAGAGCTTCTTCGTAGTTTTTATCATTCATGAACAGCTGAAATCTTTTATCTTCATCCTTTATGAACGGTAAGGCAATGCCTCCCTTGTTCTTCTTTATTAGATATTCAAGAGGACTAAGTCCTGGAAGCTGCTCTTCCTCAATCACTGACAAGATGTTGCTGTCGTTGAGAACTGCTTTTCTAAATCTTATCTCAGACATATTAAGCAGGATCTTTTCTATCTCATTGCATCCAAGGACTAATAAATAGTCATTCTGGACCAAAACAGGAACCATGTATGATTCTATTGACTGCAACACTCCAACATCCTCCAGGAAAAACTTTAGTTGTTTTACAGTTGCGTATATGAAAATGTCCTCGTGGAAAACTCCCCCGGTAATTTCGACGAGTTCATTGATTGAATGAACAAGTTGCAGGGAATAGTCTAGGAACAGTATCTTGTTGACACCGACCAGCACAATGTATTGGTTGTTGGACTTGACAGATCTAATGCTAAAGTTAAATGTGGCTGAATACTCCTGGTCGCCAATAATGAGAGTAAAAGTCCGATTGTTCACAATAAACAACCCTTTTGTTGACGGCACTAGCATCCCTTTTATTCCAGACCGGAACATTTCATCATTCTTGTAGATTCCATCTTCCTTTAGTTGATATTTATCTCCCTCGACAAATGCAATACTTCCAACATCTCCTCCTATTCTTCTTTCATCTTCAAACATCTCAAAGGACCCGTCGTAAAGAGCATAAAGAATGCTGTCCCTCATGAACATGTTGGTGACTCCTCTCTTTAGCCTGCAGTAGTCTACTGACTGTTTCATGTTATACTTCTTAACAACATTAGATATTGAATAGAAAATATTATTCTGGTATTCGCAAAATGATATTTCGAAACTTTTTCTGTACAAAATAAGACCATCGTCGGTGCCAATTGCCAGATAATCATCTCTTCCGGCTATAGACCACACTCTTGAATCGATGTTGTGCTTAGTTGACTTCCCATCAGAGAATTCGGAGAGGATGTTGTCCTCCCCGCCTCCAAAGAAATTCCCATTATCACAGAAGACAGATATCACATTTCCTTCATGGCTGTACAATGTCTTCTCAAGACCAAGAGTCTCGTTCTGGAATTTCCAAATCTTTATCTCTCTATCATCCGATCCACTCATTACATACTCGTTGCTAAGATACAAACAGTTCACTCCCCGATCATGAGCATCTATGGACTGACGTAGTATTACGTCAGGCACCATAAATTTCTTCTTTTCAAATAGATTTGAGCAGTTCCATAATCCGATTGTGTGATCCAAGGATCCTGTAAGAATATGGTTGCTGTCCAGAAACAGAACTGCCATAACGTAATGTGTGTGTCCAGAACTGCTGCTAAGCTGCTCGCCCGTATAGTAGTTCCAAATCTTTATCGTACAGTCGTCTGAGGCGCTAATAATCCAAGGCTTAGTTGGGTGAAAATCAATGCATCGAATATAGTCAGTGTGGCCCTTCATAGTCTGCACGACCTGTCTAGTCTTGTAGTTCCACACTCTTATGATTTTGTCATCTCCTGCAGTGGCAAATATTTCTCCGTATGGATGGATCTTTACACATCTCACGCTTCCCTGGTGCTCTCTCAGAACAGCAACAATCTGTTGGTAGAGAACATTCCAAATGTAGATGGTTCCACAGTGGTGAGCAGTGATGATTACTGGATTGGTGGGATGAAATGCTATACTTTTTATTCTTGTTGTAGTCTTTCTGAATATCTCAGAAATTTGTTTAGGCATTGAGGGTCAAAAAGAATAAACAATTATATAAGCACAGTCTAAACGTGCATAACCGTAATCAAAAACAGTCAAGTTTGGCTTGTGGAAAGAAAAGCTGCTTTATGAAATAATGCACTCTGCAGCCATTTCGGGAATAGATCAACAGAAAGTAGATTAGTCCAAAATGGCAAACTCTAAAAACTGGTATCTCACAATATGTGCTGATCTAATAATGGCCAATATCTTAAATATGCTTACATTAGATATATTAAATAGCCGCATATCTTTATTTACAGAGCATATATGTCAATGCTGTCCGTGCAAAATCCACTAAATCCCATCTCTTTCAACTTTTTGACTTGTTCAATATCATTTGCACCATCTCCATAGCACATCAAGCATAGGCTGTCTTTACACTGGCTGATGATATTCCCAATTCTTGGTACAATTTCAGTATCTACAACAATGCCGTCGATATTCCACCCCTTGGCAAATTCAGCTACGATCTTGCAAAACTCTTCATCCCCGACTTTAGAGAATTTCATCGACTCTTCTCCTATCAGGAAGCAAGTCTTATATCCAGGACAGTAGCTCTTCAGCAGCTCACAAATCAGCGGTGAGAAAGAGGCAAGCACAATTTTTCTTTTAGGGTAAGACTGAAGTAGCGTTATTAGTCCTTGAATCAGATCAATTTCATATGAATTGCTGTATTTGTGGTTATGACTGTATTTAATTTCAAGATAAAGTGCAAGATCATCGGGCAGGTATCTCAAAATATTGTCGAGGGTTGTATTGGTTGTTTCAAACTCTTTTTCTGTGCTTTCAGTCTGTTCTAGAAACTCAAGATACTCCATTTCTGCCACCATTCTTTTGTCTATCACATCGTCGTGAAATACTACCAATTTTCGGTCTTTGGTCATATGAATATCCATTTCGACCATTTGAGCCTTCTTCCTATGTGCCAGCATAAAAGACTTGATTGTGTTTTCTTTTATCAAATGCTGGCTGTTTTCTCCTGCTAAATCTAACGGCTTATTAAAGCAATCCATCCCATGCCCCCTGTGTCCTATCACAGATATTTCTTTTAAATTAAAATCGGCTGCTTCTGCTTCACATCGCAATATTTCATATCTGATCTGTGATGTTTTTGAATTTATGTACTTTTTAAGAAAATGATTCTCAGAAGAGCATGAATCAACAACTTCAGTTGATTGAGTAAAGGTGGCATTGGAAACATCCCCATTTTGGAGAGCTGGCGCTTCTGGTATGAATCGTGGGGTCTTCTGATCGTAGTATATCATAAGTACTGTGGCTGTGCTTATTCCCACTTTTGAAAAATTCATTTTTCAAACTGGGATACAGAAGAAAGAGACCATAAAGAGAAAAAATAGTGTGCATGCAATCTGCATATTTACTTGCCTTGCTTAGCTTCGTTCTACAGCACACATAGCTTACTAGCTAATTCATTGATCATTTTGATATACTAACTATATCGTACTATTGGCTATGCATAGTTCAAAAATCAATTAAACCCGCATAGCAATAGATGTAATACGATATGACCTAATCCTTCTCATAACGTTTCTAAATGTATCAGCCACCAAGAAACCACTCCAAAACCGTGATGGTGTCATTGATAAGCTATCTGTGTTGCATTTTGGTTGAGGCATGGACAGTTTTATAGTTTCTCATAGTTTACTTCCTATATGCCCTTCAAATGCCAAAACAAAATAAAGGAAATCTAAACACCCCTATGACTCCAAACGAAATACCAGCTAGCACTGCCGCACCGACAGTTAATACTCCAACAAAATTGGAAAGCCGCATACCCCAGAGTCCTCTTAGTTTCGCACCCATTAGAGGATTGCCCACGTTTCTCCGAGTCCCTGGAATCCTTCTTTTCTGTATTGTGCTTGGATATCTTATCGGCAGATGGAGGTTGTCATTCATCTTTCTTCTGCCAGTGGCCCATGTTGCCTATTATGTGTTCAACAGGAAGGTTGTAGAGTATAGACGATCCTTGGAGACCCTATGTAGAGAAAACACCATCCAACAGCACTTGGGCGAGTTTGAAACTGTAGAGTGGATGAATCATATTCTGAAGAAACTCTGGGATGTTTCCGAGCAGACAGTATCTTCAATCATCTTTAATGAAGTCAATAACACTCTTTCTAAAATATCCAAGAACCAACCATTCGATCTGAGACTCTCGGAAATAACTTTGGGTACCAGGCCGCCTGTTATCGAGAGAATATCGTTTGTGCAGAATTCAGAAAACAAGCTTGTTTTGGAATGTGCATCAAACTTCATTCCGGTACAAGCCTCTGAAGAAATTTTGGCATATTTCAAAAAGGAAAGATCACATTGGAACACTTACATTGAAATCCAAGTCAAACTAGCGAATTTATTGACAATCCCTATACTGGTCCGTGATTTTACATTCTCAGGGATATTCAAGATTGAACTAGATCTTTCCCAAAAGATTCCATTTGCCAAAAAGCTCAGATTCTCTTTCCTAGAAATGCCAACTGTTGATTTCAAGCTTATTCCTCTCAAGAGTGTGGATATGCTCGATCTTCCTTATATTGGAGGTCTTCTAAATACAGTCATGGAGAGCCAAATAAGGAGCATGGCCTTAGAGCCAAAGTCTATAGAGATAGATCTAGAGGAGGTTGTAAAGTACAGTGGAACAGTGGTTGGGGTGGTATATATTTACATACATGATCTCGAGGTACTGGATCAGTGCACTTACTGGATATGTCTGGATAATAACGGTAGAAAATTTGGAACAACAGCAAAGAAGTCAGGACGAAATCCATTTTTCAACCAAGGATTCTATGACATAGTCTTGGATACCACCTACAGTATCGGTGTTACTCTCCAGTCTACCGACCAAACTCCAAGAGGCCTTAAGCACGGCAGGATATTCTTAAGGAATTTAAATAAGCACATATACTCTGAGAATCTCTACCTGTCAAACGATACATCTAGAACGTTTCTCAATGTTACAACCCAGTTCTATCCTGTATCAGAAGAGTCCCAGGATAGCGCTATAATCTACTTGAATCTCATATCAATAGAGGATCTCCAGTGCATTGGAGATCCAATAAATAGACTGTATTCAACATTCTGTGTAGTCACTCTTGAAAGAAAGGAGTCCTCAAGCACAAACAGGATTGTCCTTAAAAGATGCGAATCTAAAAGGATATTTACGACCAAGGATCCATTCTACAACGAGTCATTCAAATTCTTTGTGAGGGGATTTGAGGACTATCTTATTAAAATACGAGTAGTAAATGAAAAGGATAGTAAAAGTATAGGAACAGTCGTGGTAGCCTGCACAGATATTAAGAACAGTGGAGCAATCAAGTACAGAATATGTGGTGTGGAGAGTGGGGAGATGAACCTGAAATTCAATATAAAGCATGTAAATATGGAGGATCCGCCCTTTACTGCAGAAGAGCTTTATGTCGATAGCAAAGAAAACAATGAATGCAGCAGTGAAGAGAGTAAAAATACAAATATGGAAGGAAAAAACACTGCTAATGAAGAAGACAAGGATGGGAATGGAGAAGCTAGCGTTATTAATGAATATGGAATTTCCGAAGATAAAAAGCCAGACAAAATGCCTATCATTGGTGAATATATTGAGCACACGGATGTTCCTTCGCCGCCTTTGTCCTCTAAAAAAGCAGATAAGAATGTGGTGGATTCAATTGAAAGTCTCTCTTTTGGAATACATAATGTTGATGCTCAAAACCGCTTCTTCCTACAGTTCAGAAAGGCCCTGAAGTTCTCCATAAAAGACATTAAGGCCTCTGGTCTTTTTTATCTTGTTTTTGAAACGGGTTTTCTAAATATCAAAATGGAACCTTTTAGTACTGAGCTGGAAATTCAAAGGGAAGTAGTGGTGCCTATTGTAAATGAGAGGGCGTTAAGAGCAAGACTGTTTAGAATGTCTTTGACAGGCGATTCATTAATATCAGAGGAACAGATAGACATATATAAACTTGGTAGTCCATCGCAGGTTGTCTGTGTGTTCGAGAAGATTAGGATTGAATTTGATGTTGAGCTCGATCTTCTAGCTAACTTTACCAATACGGACAACGATGCTAGTCTCAAGATTCTGCAAATAAGAATAGGAGAGTTCAATAGGCATGGGATATTTACTCTTGACTTCCACACGGACAGCTCTGTCCAAAATGTTAAGCTGGTCCACCGCTTAAATACTTTCCTGCTTGGGAAGGAGAATCTCTACTGCAGATTAAAGGATAATGGAAAGGAGGTGTCCCATGTGATGGTTCCAAAGAGAGACTGCAACGAAGAGTTTGACTTTGGAAATGGACTAAAAGCACAGATGTACTGCAAAATGCAGACGTGTGCCTTTAAAAAGATCATTCCTTCGAAGCAGGGAGAGCTTGAGGTATTTATCATTAAGGCTAACAAACTTAAGGGAGCAAGCAACGGGACAAGTGATCCCTATGTCAAGGTATTTCTTAATAAAGAAAAGATCCATAAGACAAACAAACGACTAAGAAGCTTGGATCCTATTTTCAATGAGAGCTTTAGGATTAATGTCCAGAAGAACGTGGATGAAATGGGATTCCATATTTATAGTCTCAATTCACTGACGGTTGATTCCTTGATTCACTTTGTCGACATCTCTCTTTTCAATATTTCAGAAGGATACAGCAGACATACCTTAAAGATGAAGGACGGAGACAACGGGGAGGTGGGAGATGCCACACTTCAGGTAATCTTCAACTATAAATCAGCAATTAAAAGTACAAAAATAGTGGGAATGGTCTGAGAGCAAATGAACCAGCTAAACTGCTGAACATTAAATTATGCCTATTTGCAGTGTTGTTATGCTAGTAATTCGTTTTGGCTAAGCTAGCCTTACAGCTATTATTTGGTGGTTAAACAAATTCATGCTTACTTTACAGTTTATTTATTGAATAATGCAGCTAAGAGCCATGACCAGTAAATAAAAGAGAATATTCGTATTGGGTGCGCTGTTACGTGTCTTCCTTTTGGCAGAAGACGTGGAGCTGTTCTTTTTAGCATTCTTTGCTTCATTATCCTTCTTTTCACAATCTTTCGGTTTATTTTCTGGTTCTTTATTGCCACTTTCTTTTGCTGGCAACAGGCTGGTCTCAGTCAGGACTGGGGTATTGGATTGCCGGGGCATTTCATAGATCTCAGGAGTGGTGTAATATGGTTCGCGAGGCTGCACAGGCACTTGGGGATAGTATGTCTCATATGCAGGAAAGGTGCTACCCACTGCATCATATCCTATGCACTGTGGTGACGACCATGCATTCTGTACAGTGTCATAAGCACTGATATAGTACCTGTTGTCCTGTCCCATGCATATTTGAACTTTAGATGCATTGGTTGTATCTACTTCTAGGACTTGGCCAGGTAGAATCCTATCAGCAGCATGGATCTGTATGAGTAATATACAAAGTGAAAGGATAAACATGCATAAAAATTATTTGTAGTTTATATATTGAGTAAATGTTCTATCTGTGGTCTTTTAGAATTAAATTTAGATGGCACTAATTTTAATTAAAGTGAGGATCAAATATTAATGCGTAAGCATAATTAAGCGTCAATTCTGATCATAAACAATCAAGACATGCATTTATTCGTTGAATGAAGGTCCACTTAGTTACAATGGTAAGAATAGATGTGCCATCCAGGATCAAGAGACTTGTGGGTGATGGCTCCTGAACTTACAACGGCGTTCTATGAGCATCAAGGCTAGCTTTTGCCACTTTTCCTTGCATACTATAGCTGCTCATAATCTATTTTCATGACAACAAGCTGACTGCTTTGACCATTGTACCTATGTTTTCATGCCCAATTGCTTTTTATTTTATGCTGTATTGCCAACAAACATCTTTGGTTTAGTTTAAAATTTTTAAATACCTGTAAAAATTTTTTCTTTTCCCCTCTCAAATTCTATCTTGAATTGTTTTCCTTTACGTATTTTGTTTTTCCTTACCCCATGGTTCAACAAGACACAGGTGAGGCTATAGGAAGCCTTATTTCTGGGAAGCTTCCAAGCTCCTCGGAAGTAATGGACGCAAAAAGAACTACATCGACGCTCAGAGACTTTCTTTTGAAACTCGATCAGGCCAGAGAGTGGATATGCTCAGTCGCGGAGGTGAGTATGGATATTACAGCATTCCGGGAAGATCTGCCCAAGGCAGAGATACTTGCCAGGGTGGTACAGGCTTTTGATCCTTCGTTTGTAAAGAGAATCTATGTGTCAGCAGTGAGAGAGTTCCGCCACACGGATAATATTATGCTTTTTCTCAACTGGTGCAAGAAGATTAAACTGAGAAGACACTTTCTATTTGAAACAGTGGATCTATATGAGTCCAAGAACATTCCAAAGGTGATATACTGCATCCATGGGCTGGCGCTATTTCTGAATAAGAGAGGAATGGGCCGGGGGATTGTCGTCAAGAATGATGTGGTCTTCACCTATGCAGAGAACAGCTTGTTTGCCGAAGATCTAAACAACATTTCCATGCAAAAGTATGATGATATCCACACCAAGCTTGATTCGGAGGACACAAATGATTGTGAGAATGTGCTGGATAAGGAAATAAGTGAGGACCAGATTAGGGCATTTGCAAAGACACTTGTCTGGTGTAGAGGGTTCAATTCGCTTGTTACTGGTGATAATTTGTCAGTCCCCATTCTTCGTAAATTTATTGACTTTGATTTTAAGGGTGAGAGTGCCAGTCAAACCATAGCGGAGCTGCAGAACGAGATTGTTGATTTCTTCAAACAAAATAGCATAAAAGAAACTGAAAAGGACAGCCTTATTCACACAATAAGATTGCTTCATGAGAACCTAAATCAACTGAGGAACGTTCCTGTCGTTACCTATCCATCGGCAAATGACTATAAGATCATTAAGAAAATACTCTACAGGCTTATCCACGACTATAAGCTGTGTTTTGATATTCTGTGTACAGGGTTTGAGTTGCCCTTCAGGACGCTCTTTCCAGACAATGTGATCGGGGATTTTCATTTCTCAAAATTCATAGCTTTCAACCTTAACAACGATCAAGATAAGCTTGTTGATATTGCTAGATCGCACTTTGTTTCTTCTCGAATATTCAGAAATGTTGCTGAGGCATATTCTACAAATATAACTTTTGAAATGAATCCCATCTCCATTAGGAATTACTTAATGAATAAAGAGGCCAAGAGCGCAGCATCGAAAGCTCTTCTCGACGAGGCTATTGACGATAAGGCAGTAAGGAGTGAAATTCTAAAACGATCACAGTCCATCATTGAATTTATCGATTCCAAGTTCAATTTCCTGATAAACCTTGATCTGCCTTATTATGTTAGGGCATTTGCCAAGCATCCTTTCTTCTTTGAATACTTTATTGAGCCAGCAATATTCTCCTCGGGCAATTCTGTCATTGCCGAACTTATGAACTATATATTCTCCTCATGTGACTCGCCAAGCTCCCAGGAGCGTCTGTACAAAGATAACTTGGAGTTCGTGAAGACTACCAACATTGATTTCTCAGACTATGCACCCCTAAAGGAGTATTTAGATGAGTGTAGAAAAACATTCAAGGCTGCCCTTATCCGTTCGCAAGCTATCGCTAGTGATGTAAACGACTATTTCATCCAGCATGCATCGGTTGGAGATTTGTTGCAGGTAGAAACTTGCATCGAAGAGATCAACAATATCATTTTGATTCTCAAAGGCACTACGAAGCTTATGAGCGAGGAAATGGTGCATCTTGTTAACAAACTTGAGCTCATGAATGTGCCGTCTTCCAGCTCAATAAAGATTGGTGTTTACAGCCAGCTGGATAGTGCCAGAATGGATGCATCTGTTCAGGTTAATGGTCAAGTGGCTCCTATGACTCGTGACGGCAGCAAGGGGGATACTGCAATTGAACAAGCAATCTCTACCACATACAGCGATACTACTAGCATGAGCGACGCTGAGAAGTATCGCGAGGTTGAGTTTACCTCAGAGCACCCTTTTGAAACATCTGTTCCGCAATCTGCATCTGAAAAATTTGTCCTTAAACTCGACAATCAGTATTCCTCTGAACTCGACGAAGAATACAATCTGGCATTAAACGCAGTACTGAAGGATCTTAAATACAGATTGATGATACTCATTTCAATGTCAGAGGGCAGAACCCTCGATGCCGTTCTCAATGAGACTTTTAGCGATGGCTATGCATCGGCCCCAGTCTTCTCTGAGCTTGATATACAATCCATAAAGGATTCTGTTATTAATGATATTAGTCTACTAAAAAATAAGGGCATATTCAAGGGCAACAGTGGGCACTACAGTCTCCTTCAAATGATTGCCTCCGACATTCTCACATGCAAATACAGACTCCTCCACAAGGAAATTACGATGAATCTCGAAACCTCTGATGCACTGTTTCACAAAGGCGCTATGCTTGACAGATACCTACAAAATCTATACCGCTATTTAAATGATTTTACAACAGTGATGTTTGTGAACAAGAGTGGAATATTCTTTAATCGGGAGGTAAGGCCGTATACTAAATATGGGACATATTTAATGCCTCTCGAGGCCTTCCGTGCACAGGTGTATGAAAACCTGAATATCAAACACATGTACTTGAAGATTTCTTGCAGAGTGCCTATGGTGTTTAACATATCTGTGTACCTTGGAGACACGAGACTGTGCGATCCTATTGATGTGCGATTTGATACTCTTTTGAGGATGCGCGAGGGAAATATGCTATGTTTTGATGTGAACGAGGTGTGCTGCCTCTCCGTTGGGTCTACTATTGAAATTATCAACGAAAAGTATATTAATTATTAAATGGAGTGAATATTTTAAGAACTGCCAACCTCTTTAGTTCCATGATATGCTACTGTTGATAGAATAAAGCATTTCAATGCTATTGGTTCTTTCGTCAAGCCATATCCTCCTTTAGTTTACTTAAATCTATTAAATCCCTTTATTAGATGATATCGAAGAGCTCGATTGCCGGAATTGCTGCCGTTTTGCTAGTGGCTGTGTTCTTTCTCTGCAAATTTGCCTTTGGAAATGCCGATAACTTTATCCTTGAGTCCCCCGAAGGTTATGACGATTTTTCCAAAAGATTAGAACAATATGGATTTTCAAAGTTAGTTGAAAGTTCCGTGGAGAGTCTACAAGACGAAGAGATCAAAGCAGCATATTCACAGCACAAGGAGGCAGTAAAAAGCATCATTCTCATAGACTTGTTTGTAGGTTTGAAACAAGAATCTTCGGCTCGAACATTTTACAATACAAAGTTGCCAGATTTAACGGTTGGCGCAGCGCCTGAACCCACCAAAGAATCAAAAACTAAGCATACTACCAGCTCACCGCCTGCTGCAGAGTCAGAATTACAGGAAGCGCTCAAAAGCTTTATTTGCCTGTGTATGCAGCGTTTTGCGTTTGCAAATGTAAGCATAATGTGGTCAAATGATTTATTATTTACCCAACCGAAAATTGAAATTGTGGGGTTTAAACTTGGATTCGTTCCTTCTGAGGCCTTAGCTGCATTTAAGGAAATGGTTAGTCTAGACTTGAAACAAACACATGTCACAAAAGGATTTGAATCTCTGAAAATCCTAAAAAATCTTCGATACTTAACACTTTCCGAGAACGGCATAACTGAATTTCCGAACTTTACCGGATTTCCAGCTCTAAATGAGGTTTATTTGAACAATAACGCCATTCAAAAGATCGATTTGAGCCAGTATTTGAAAAGTGGAACAGACGAATATGAAAAGCTAGGTATTACAAACCTACATTTAAACAACAACAAAATTAGTAATATCGACAATGACTTCATGAAAGTATTTCCGGAACTAAAGGAGTTATCACTCAGGAACAACAAGATTGCAAAAATGCCAGAGTGCTTTAATGGTTTAGAAGACAAGGTCAAGGTTGATATTACCACGCTACCATCGACGGGATGAATAAAAAACATGTAAAAATGGTGTTGCTGTTCACTTGCTGAACTTTTATTAGTATTGCAGTTTAATGGTATTTCTGTCTCATATGCAAAAGTCTTACTCATTACTGGTTGATATTGTATGTGCCATGAAAGATTGGAGAATGCACCACGGCTGCGAGAGAACAAGATTCCAATACGCCACTGTATTCTACCCACAAGTAGGTTATCGATGGACTACAGCAACATCACAAGAGAAATGGTGTACCTTTGCATCGGAGAGGACTTGGAGCTTCTAGATAGCTCAGAGCTCTATTGCACATTCTTCAAGGGGATTAAATACTTTATAGCTGGGACAGAAAAAGTCATTCGTGGAGATTCCCAGATATTCTGTTCTTGCAATGAGCGGTACTGCTGGCACATTTTTAAAGTAGTTCTGGATGAAGACAGGGCCATTATAAAGTGATCCGTTTGACTCTTGCATGTCTGTCTGTATCTTCTGTCCAGAAGCCTCATGATAATCTGCTGTGACGTGTCTAGAGAGTTCCTTTCATATTTTCTCGGTATTTTATCTGGCCAGTCATCCTCAGCCTGCTTGGCCATTGAAAAGGTCTCAACGCAGTAAAGGAGATTCAGTCTATTCAAAAGGACGTGCAATAAAAGGAGTCTATGAAAACCAGGAAACACACAGTCTTGAGAATTGTACTCCTTACACTTATCGGCTATATTATTATTAAAATGAGATAGTTAAATGTGTTATTTATTTTTGCTCTTTCGTAGTATTTTCATTACCTCACAGGCCGGGAGGTTGATGAATTCTGTGTCAGAGGACGACTCATCCCACAGTTCTGGCTCAATGTGCATTGAATCTTCTGAAGACCCGCTAATTTCATCAGAATCGGATCGGCCATGAAACTCCCGTTCTAGGTCTACACTGTCATCTTTATCTGTGCTATCACAGCGATCTTCTTGCAAATCTACATTATTTTCTCCATCCACGCCAACCTGATTATTTCTTTTATTTAAAGTGGCGCTGCTACTGATCTCGTCGATCGTTGAACCTTCACTTTCAGAATTGAGACCGTCTTCGCTTTCGTTGCCGGGACCACCCAAACCTTCACTTGCAGTTTGCAAGCGTTTCTCAACGAACTTGGAATATTTTGAATTCACTTTACTTTCAAGAGAAGAATATCGGTTTCCGAGCTTATCTTCCAGTTGATAGAAGATCTGTTCTGGCTTAAATCCATCTGTATATATGTTCTTTACTCCAAGAGAGTCTAGTATTTCTTTAAAAAGTGTTTCGTTTTTCATGGAGAGGAATTTTGCTAAAATTTAGTTCATAAAAGAACAAAGCATGTCTGTGCTTACTATTTAATTCTGTGTTGAGTATGCTTTGCAATAGCGTATGCTGCTGTTCCATTAGAGGTCCAAAAGCTACTCCTTATATCAACGAAGTTAGTTTGCATCCCTAGGATGGCATGCACAGCGACTACTGTTATTATCGCATACAACTCTGGTAATACTTGTATTTCAGCTCCAACTTTGCTGATGAGTACTATCTTTTGTTGCTGCAGTTATCAGGGGCTTTGATGTGTTTAAGGATGCATCACCAATAGCCTTTCGTTGACTTTACCAACTCATATGCTTCAAAGTAGAACAAGCAGGCTCGTGTGAAAGTCGCAAGATACTGCAAATCGTACTGTATATGAATAGTAAAATCTGTCTGGCTCTTTAATCAATTGTTTTTAACATTACGGTCAAAACATACTTGTTGATGCTGGGATGGCAAGTATCTTTTATTCTTCTAAGCTTTGTGCGTCTGCATGTTTTTTGCCAAACCTTTGAAAATACTGCTCCAATACTTTATTGAAACTGGCAATGCTATTTTCATACTGGCTCGAAATCGTCTGTTTTGAGCATACTTGTTGACAGGCTTAGATTGCTGTATTGCATTATAAATTTAAAGTCCCTTTCTTATCATTTACTGCTCCATGCTTCTTGGCCATGGAAAACAATGAGCAGCTGTTCAAATTTAAAAATATCGACCTGGTCGATTATATCAACAAAAAGCATCCAAAAATAGATTTGATTGAGATTGAGTCTGAGAAAAATGCACTGAGCAATCTTATAAAAACAGTTAATGAGGATGTCTTCCAGTACTTTCTCCAGAGACAGGATCCTCTTCTAAAGCTACTAGAAATCCACCAAGAATGCTTTGAAATCATTAAAAGCTTCAAAAAGAGCCAAAAAGACCAAATGAAGCAGTCTGACGAAATCGACCTGAGCAGCTCAGAGCTGAAAAAAAAATTTTGTCTCTTCACAGACGACATGTCTATCTTCCTTACAAATGACAGGTACTTTGTTGCCTCTGCAGTTTTCAACAATGATACGGTTTTGTGTGTCCTGACAAATGATCTTATATTTATAGGCGAAAAGGACGATAATGATAAGTTTAGGCTGAGAAGATCGCTAAGCAAAGAGTCGGTTAAGCTTGAGATGGCAGAAAGTACACTTCGGATCACATTGAATGGAAGTGTATGTGAACTAAGTGGATCAAAAGTAGAAATTGAGAATTTCTTTGAAATGTTCCAGGAAGTTTCATATAAGCTTGAATTAACAAACGATAGAGAAAGTAATATTGATTACGAACTTGTTGAGTACTACCTAGAAACTAAGAAGTTCGTCAACCTGATTGACTACTTAGACAGTTTTGGGCGTCCAGAGGGCGAAAGACTAGCCAGCCTGCTGGATAAAATGGAGATTTCTGACGAGTATACTCTCTTTGCACTTAGTAAAATTTCAGATGATCCTACAAAACTTTTCAAAAAGTTTTTCTATGAAAGATTTAAGGCGGGATTGTCCGGAGTCAACAGAATACAAAAACTGGACAAGTACATTCTAGATGTTTTTGAGTACATCCAAGAGTTCTCTCAAGAGTTTTACGAGTACTGTGAGAGAAATTCGCTCACAAAAAGGGCATACATTCTTACAATGGAGGACTGTGTCAAGCATGCGCTGCAGTATATTGAGCCCAGAGTTATCAATCACAGTAGAGGCAACGACATGAAGGATGAAAAGGATATTATTGGTAGTATTTATGAGAGATTGCAATTTTCAGATCTCAATTTCAGATATTTAATCAAAGAAATAAACATCAAGAAGGCTGTCAGCCAGGGTTCAATTGAGCAATCAAAGCGTCGAGTTAAGGAAGAAGTAGAAAAGTTCCTAAGGAATTAATGCATAAAGACACATTGGCGATAGAGGCAGATTCCATCTCAACTGATTGCTACGGTATTGCACACTAGAATAGAGAGCATCAATGCGTCTAGTGGATATCAGTACAGTTATAGCACGTCTTGATTAAATAATATGTTTCAAAGGGGCGATCAATCAAGAAAATATTGCAGCATAAAGCGTTTTTATGAAATATTAAAGATTTGCACATCCTCTCTATTAATTAAACAGCTATCTACTTAATATTTATTTACAGCAGGCCTATCGCTTGCCCAACTACAGTCTTGTGATGGTTTTGTTTGTGTTTGAAAATAAATCGGAGGCTTATAAAATCATGCATTTTCACCCCTCCATGTCCTCGGGAACACCTCTCGATTTAAGTACGGCTATTTTGGAAACTAAACTAAAAAACCAGCTTCTAGTTCAGGGTGAAGAGATAATTAAGAAGCCTCTCAGACCATTCGAGATCTGCTTGCATCCTGACTGCGCAGACGGCATTCTTGGCTTCGATGTTTTCCTCTATGGACCGGTCCTTGTCAAAGGTAAGAAACAAAAAGAAAACATTTTGACCGTGCAATTTGACGATTCAATACCCAGGATGGTTGCTGTTCTATCAAAAGATGCTCGTAATAACCTCAGTGTTAGGATAAACGACTATGTAAAAGTCTATGACATTAAGGTTAATGACATTCCACCTGCAGTTGAGGTTAGTTTCTTTCCAGTTGAGGATTCGGTGGAGAAAATATCAGGTGATATTTTCTCCTCTTACATAGAACCTTTTTTTAATCAAAAGAGAATATACATTAGCGCTGGTAATATTTATAACATTAAAAGCGGAGCAATGACAGCGCTACAGTTCAAAGTTGTTAAGATTATGGCAGAGGTGAGCGGCGGGCAACAGGAAGTGGATCATGCGGTTACTCTGGACAATACAAGCATACTTGCCGATGGTAAGGTTAGCAGAAGTCAGATTGATAAGGAATATGGGAAAATTGGATATGATGACATTGGTGGATGCAGGCGTCAAATGGCTCAAATCAGGGAGCTTATCGAGCTTCCTCTGAAACAACCAGCACTCTTTAAAAAGATTGGAATTAAACCGCCTCGTGGTATACTTCTTCATGGTCCACCCGGAACTGGTAAGACCCTTATTGCAAAGGCAATTGCTAACGAGACAGGTGCATTTTTGTACACAATCAATGGACCTGAAATTATGTCAAAGATGTCTGGAGAATCAGAGTCTAATCTCAGAAAAGCATTTGAGGAAGCACAGAAGAATGCGCCAGCCATCATCTTTATGGATGAGATAGATTCGATTGCACCCAACAGGGACAAGACACAAGGCGAGGTAGAAAAAAGAATTGTGTCCCAACTACTCACACTGATGGATGGCATGAAATCTTCGTCTAATGTTATAGTCCTTGGGGCCACAAATCGCCCCAATACTGTTGATCCTGCACTTAGACGGTTTGGAAGATTCGACAGGGAGATTGAAATAGGAGTGCCTGATGATTTAGGCAGACTGGAAATTTTGAGCATTCACACTAAGAACATGAACCTTGATGATGATGTTGATCTTGAGGAAATAGCAAAGGAGATACACGGGTTTACTGGTTCCGATATTGCTTCTCTGTGCTCTGAGGCTGCTATTCAACAAATAAGAGAAAAGCTTCCGTTGATAGATCTGGATAAGGATTGCATCGATGCAAAGATTCTATCTTCGTTGAGAGTCAACACTGCAAACTTCAGATATGCCATTTCTAATACTGATCCCAGCGCCCTCAGAGAGAAAGTTATTGAGAAACCAAATGTACAATGGACAGATATTGGTGGTTTGGCTTATGTCAAAAGAGAGCTTAAAGAAACTGTACAGTATCCTGTCAACTATCCTGATAAATACCTTAAGTTTGGACAATATCCATCCAAGGGTGTATTGCTTTATGGCCCGCCCGGCTGCGGCAAAACTCTTCTTGCTAAGGCTGTAGCCACCGAATGCAATGCTAACTTTATTTCCATTAAAGGACCTGAATTGCTGAGCATGTATGTGGGAGAATCCGAATCCAACATTAGGCAACTGTTCGATAAAGCAAGAGGATCGGCACCGTGTGTCCTATTCTTCGATGAAATTGATTCTATAGGTAGATCCAGAAGCTCAGTTTCAAATGACGGAGGCGCCACTGACAGAGTACTGAACCAGCTGCTTGCAGAAATGGATGGAATGAATCAGAAGAAAAACGTCTTTGTCATGGGCGCTACCAACAGACCATCCCAGCTGGATTCTGCTTTGATGAGACCTGGACGTCTCGACCAGTTAGTTTATATTCCGCTTCCTGACTTCAAGTCTAGAATATCAATATTCCGTGCAAAGCTCAAAAAAACACCGCTCGAATCAGACGTAAATCTCGAAGAAATGGCAAGATCACTAGAGGGTTTTTCTGGTGCTGATATTGCAGAGATTTGTCAGAGAGCGGCCAAATTGGCAATTAGGGAGTCTATTGAATATGAAATCAAGAATCCGAATTCAAAAGATGATCCTGTGCCAGCGCTTTCAGCTAGGCATTTTGCAGAAGCCATGAGGACTGCTCGTAAGAGTGTTACACAACAAGAAATTGAAAGCTTCGAAGCATTTGCAAAGTCCATGAAAGTTGATCTGCACAGGTATGTGGCTGAAGAGCAAGCGATGAACAATGCAGATGAGGAAGGTCTGTATGATTAAATCACTAATATTCTTCCAGCGGCCTTAGTTATATTGTTGTTATTAAGTTTGAATGGGCTTTTGTACTGCTATATACAAGTTTATTTTCATGTGTTTTTATGCAGTCTTGCGAAATTGGCTTTTAATAGCGGTTTTTGATGGTCTATTTGCTGCATATTAAATGTCCATAGAACAGCGCATGCTGTAAATCCATTTATAGCTACAGTGTTGGCCTAATTTATATCTGTGCTTCAATGGTCTCACATATCAAACTGATTCGGCATCCGTTTTTCCTTTCGCTTTCCAACTACCCCTTCTTTTCATGGCTTCAAAATTCTTAGTGATAACTGGTCCGAGCGGTGCGGGGAAAACTACAGTGATAGAATATCTTCTTAAAGTTCCTCTGTTTGAGTTGAGTGTCTCATACACGACAAGAGAGCCCCGGAAGGATGAGATTGATGGAAAGTACTACTTCTTTATTTCCAAAGAGGAGTTTGAAAGGAAAATCGCAGAAAACTTCTTTGTAGAGTATGTTGAATTCAACGGTAACTACTATGGAACACCCCACAAGAGCCTGGAGGAAGACAAGATAGTCATTCTTGACATTGAGCTTGGTGGGCTCAGGTTTTTTAAGCAGAGAAATCCACGGTCCTTTTTTTGTCTTATTAAAGTAGATCGTTCAACAATGGAGAAAAGGCTTTTGAAAAGAGTCTACTCAAATTTCGAGGGAGACCTGCAAGTTGACGAAGATGACTTTAAAAAGAGGATGTGCTCATTTGATCTTTTTAACGAAGTAGAACAGCAGTTTGAATTCAATAAAATCATAGATAATTCAAAATCAATTGAAAATACACTGAGACAGGCCCAGGATTTAGCTGATGAGGTTATTGAGTACTACGATGTTATATGTAAAGATCTGTAGAAAGGTATGTGACATTTTTGAGCCTTTCAGTTTATTTGCTCAACTATGAATAAACAAGCCTTTCCATGCCCAAATGCAGAAACAGCGTTCAGGACACGAGTATTTACTCAGAAGAACAATCGATTATATGCCATTAACATTAATGCTGGAAAGTGAACTATAAATACTCCTTTATTAATTAAATGCCTTTGGTCTAGTTTCACTTTCAATGCTAAATAGCAGAATTGACTTTATGCACACATGACAGCATAAAACATAGTAAATGAATTGCATAAACCAACTTTATGTAATATTAAAGATGGGAAAGTCGTTAATGCAAGATAGTAATGTGGTATATCAAATTTATATTAAAATTACAGCCCTATCTTCCTGGAGGGGACTCTGGTCTAAGACTGAATGTGTCTGAAAAGTTGTCGGGATGATCTTCGATCTTTTTCGAATAGAAGTGGTTATAGACATTTTGTGCATTCTCAAGTCTCTTCGTTAGAACCCTGTTCGTCTCATTCAACTCTTCCACCCGCTGTGTTTTTTCCTTTACTTCTTCTTTTAGTTTCTTATACTTGGTGTCCAACTGGCTCATCTTCTTTGTCATGTCTTCTAGCTTCAGTCCTAACTCCTCGTTCCTATCTGCCTCCTTTTGAACGGCTGAAAGATTCTCGCTCTTAAACTGCTTCAAATCAGAATTCTCTTGTCTCAATTTCTTTATTATTTCATTTGCTGTATTCATTTCCCTGCTAAGTTCTTCTAGTTCGTTTTCCTTGTTCTTCAGCTGGTCCTTGAATGATACGGAATTCTCTCTTTGGTATCTTTCCATTTCGTATCTTAACTGGGCATTTTCATTGTCTAATGTATATATTCTATTGGACAGCTTCGCCATTTCCTCTTCCTTTGACGATGCCCTCTCCTGCACAATAGAAAAGTCCTTTTGTATCAAATCTAGCCTCCTTCTTAGCTCAGTATTGTCTTGCTCCAGAAACCTTATCTTTTCCTTTAGATTTTGATCCCCATTCATGCATCTGTCCCTTAGAATAGAATTCTCCTTTATTAGTTTGATGTTATCTCCCTCCATTCTACCTATCAAATCTCCCAGATATCTTCTGTACTGTGTTTCTTCTGGCTTTGCAAACTTCAGCTCCAACTTGCAAATGTTTCTGAACTCAAGGTTTTCAATAAACCTTAGAACCCCTTCGTTGAAATAGGCAGTGTACTTTGACGTGGATACTCCATGGAAGAGATTGACCAGTATTTGAATGAATCTGTCGTAGTCCACAAGGATGTCCTGGTCTCTTTTCAAAATATAGAAATCAGACGATGTGAGCGTGTAAGTCCATAGGGAAAAGACATTTGAAGTGTCTATGAGCCTTATTTCCACTCCTAATTCAGTTTTAATCATATCCACCTTTACAGGTGTTAGTCCGCTGGGTGTACTCAGAGTAATTTTATTGTTAAACAGGGACTCATGCATTTGTTAACCGAGGGAGGAAAACAAATATTTTAGAAAAATGTGGAGGAAATGTGCAGAACAACCCAGTGTGATATTGTACATGGCACTGTGAGAAAAATCTGTGCTCAAGCAATTACTTAGTACTTTAACAAATGCATATTTGAAGACCGAGTAGAAAGATAAATGCTATAATGGTACAGACTATAAATCAGCATTTTCGAATTGAAATATGCTTTTTTCTTTCTAGTTTTATTGATGTAGGCACTGGCTATAGCTTATTTGCAAAAGCAGTGTTATGTATTTAGAAATCTCAAATATAACAGTAGAGTTTGATGAAATGCTAAGCAGTTGAAGGCTCAACCAGAAGATTCTATTTTGTTTTTGCATATTTGCTAAGTTTTTAAAAATATAAACGAACTTTCATTTATGCTTTTCAATATGCACAGCATTCAAAATGGAAGAATACACTAACATTCTCATTGCACAATTGCAAGGATTATACTTTATGCACCACAATGCTCTGCCGCACAGTGTCGGATTATATCTACTCAACACGCTTCTCCTAGATTACATTCATCCCATTAAAAATACACCTATTAAAGTAGCGATGGTAGTCGAAATATCCACCATCTGTGAATGTACTGCGTTCTTTTTAGCCTAGTTTCAATATACCTAAGCTTTACCACAGTATCCACTGAAGTAAGCGATTATTGTGTTCACATTACATGAAATTTATTTTACAGATTATTTATTTTATTACCCTTACATTAAGGCAGTACGCATTTAAATCAATTTTGTTGATGTCAAGTCTATCTTTACAAAATTTTCGAAATGGCCCCTATGAATATCAAAATATCCGAAGAACGCTACTTGACAGATGATGAGAGCACAAGCTTCATAGAGAGTGAAAGTGAAACTATTGACAAACAAGATGAATACATTGAAAAATATGATTTTAGACACAAGCTATTTGATGCTCTATGCTCTTTTAGAATTATTCTGCCAGTCTTGGGCTTAATACTAATTATGCTTTCATACTTTCTCTGGAATGTTCCAGTCGAAGGAACCAAAGACACCTACAAAGAGATTCACTTTGGGAGTGTCTTCTTTGCCTGTGGTTGCTCTCTTATTGTCTCAATTACTCTTGGTACGGTCTTCGAAAGCATCAGTATGAACTATCTCAAGAAAAGCAGGGGAGATGCGTCATACTGTTATTATTTTAATGAGTTATCCTTTCATATCTCTGGCCTTCTCGTCATGGCTACTATCCAGGCCTTTCTAATGAGAAAGTACGAGGATTTTTATCTTGTTGACCTCCTTGGCATTAAGCTATATCTTCTTTATTCTCTTAGATTGATGATGTTTGCATCTATCATTCTAGGACTGCTAAAGGCTGCGGTAAAATATGTTTCAATGCGATTTAACTATAACATGTACATAAATAGTATCAGGAAGTGTATTCTCTTTGATTTCTTTGTGTCTTTAATATCTACAGTTAAGGAGGACGAGGACAGTGAAAGAATTGCAAGGATCTCTATTGAGAAAGAGCCTGAGAGCATTCTGAAGGACTTTTTGGGAACAACGTCAACGCCGCTAAATACTTTTATTCTTCAGAAAAGATTCAGAGTCGAGGATGCCAGTCAGCTGAGCTTTGGAGAAAAGAGACTGCTGATCAAGGAGTTCCTGAATCTTGAAGATAGAAACAAAATGTACTCTGGAAGTCTTCCTGTTGTTTTGGGTAAGATCAAGGACAAGGCAGAGTCTAGAGCAAACAAACTGGTAAGGAAGCTTAGAAGACAGGACAAAGTCAAGAAGGCGGGTGATATCTCCAAATTCTTTTCTGATCAAGGAGTGTTTAAATTTTTGCTTTCTCAATTGAAGATCAAGCCCGAGGAGCCGATTGAAAAAGATAATATTGCGCATGTCATAGAGAAGACGTACAAGGACAAGTACGTTATTAAAAAGAATCTGGAGCAAATCAACTCAGCTATCCAGAGAGTATCTTTTGTTACAAAACTGGTAATCTACATTGCCACGGCTGTGTTTATGTTTATCTCTGCATCTATACAAATAGACTACTTGTCTGCAATACTCTCTGGAATATTTGGCACCCAATTCATCTCAAAGATACTCTCCGATGGTGTTTTACAGTCTATTATTTTTCTCTTTGTAATACACCCGTTTGATATTGGGGACAGAGTTTTTATCAGGCTGGGCGATACAGTAGAAAATCTTGTTGTTGCAGAGCTGAACATTTTCTCAACGACGTTCTACAAATTTGACGGCACATCGTTCTTTGTTCCGAACAGTGTAATGATAGGTACACATATCAGTAATATTAGAAGATCTAAGAATATTATGGAATCCCATTCAATTCAAATAGACAGCAATACAAAACCAAAGAAGCTTGTAAAGCTGAGAGAAATGCTAGTGGAGTTTTGTAGACACAACACACCGTTCTACACCGACTACATTCTTGTAAACTACGAGTCTATTGAGAATTCAAATAAACTGTATATCAAAATTCTGATGCAATACAAGGGAAATTTCCAGAATTACGAATACTATCTGAAGAGAAGAAGCGAGTTTGTGTGTGAATTGGGTAGATGCTTGAAGCACTTGAAGATCGGCTATTCGCTGCCAACACAGAAGGTGAGGATAGTCCAAGAGGAGTAGACTGAAGACAGCTCACAGGCGAGTTAGGAATGATCTAAATTAAAAATGAATAAGTAAATACCTAGCATAACGTGTAGAAATGTTCACTGGGAGGTGTCAATAGTTTCTATTGTTTTAATATAGATCACCGGGGCTTGTTCTTGAAAGAGCTTATTGGATAGAGAATGGTGTAATTTTGGATTGAGTACAAGATATAGAAAAGGCCAATATGCGATGGCGTAGCAAAGTGGTTAACGCGGGTGATTGCTAATCATCTCCCGTCTCGGGGCGTGGGTTCGAATCCCACCGTCATCGGTTTGTGCTCTGTTTTAAAGAACGTATTTAAAGGAAAGGAGTGTGATTTATTTATTAAGGAATGGATTGTCTTCACAGTCAATTGTTACTTCTTCTGTGTTGTAGCTGTCCAAGAATTTAGGTCTTTCCTGGAGACGATTTGCTTTAAGGTTTAATACTCCTAAATTAGGAAATACCTCGTAAAAGTTATCATCGATTGTTTCAATTTGGTTCTCGTCTAAGTGAATTAGAGTGATTGGAAGTGAAATGTAGCCACTTCCATCGCTCTTTTTATAGGAGTCGAGTGATATTTTTGCTATTCGATTTTTTGAAAGCGAAACCTCTTCCAAATTGGGAAATTCACTGAAGTTAGGAAATTCTTCTATCCCATTTTCATCCAAAAAGATATGCTGCAGCTTTTTTAATATTTCCAATGCCTCAAATCCCGTTTTTAACTTAGTTTTTGACAGGGAGAGAAATGTAATATTTGGAAATAAGCTCAAAGCCTCAACTGGCAAATATCCTAGTTCAAAATCTTCTAATGAAATATTATCCATTCCTAAAAAGCAGCCTATCGATCGATGGATTTGGCTCAGAAAAGAAGCTCTCAAAATAGTGTTTTATACTTTCGGCATGGCTCACTTCAACTGGTTCTAATGAGTATTTACGATTTCGAGCATAAGTATAAATATTGATATAAATAATACTTAGGATTGAATCCTTGTGCTTAATAATGGTCTCTTTGACAATTTGGTCGGGTATTTCATTTGCAAAGTTGTCTAGGCACTCATAATATCGATATTCCTCAATACTTTCTACGAATGTGTCATAATCGTCTGGGGCTTTTAGAATGAATCTGTTATCATCTGGGCCCTTCGAAGACGTCTTTAAATGAACTAACAGCACTGTCACTATGACAATAATCACCAATCCAACTAGAGATTTGGATGATAGCATCTATTAAAGGGAGACGGCTAGCTTGGCTTTAAANAAATTAAAAGGGGTATGACTAGATAGTGTTTAAGGAGTAATTTGACATCTGTTATCACTCAGATGTTTATGTCTGTGCAGAAGGCAGTCCTAAAAACAGACCATCTAAATTTACAGATTGGTTCTATGTTTATTGTTTGCATCTAAACACTATTCTTCTTATCAAAATGCAGGTCTATTATAACGGAAAATCAGCAAATAAAAGCACGTTCATCTGAGACAGACTGCAGTGCTTGTGTTGTGCTTTGTTTTACTTTTTGAATTTTCTAACTCAAAGCAAATAAACATCATGCTATATAACTTGGTTTTATTACTAGCCTGTGTCAGTGCCAAGAAAAAATACAACGTAATCGTTGAGTCAACTCAAATTCAAATGGCAGATGTGGACAGTGGCGTACTAGCTGTTCTTGATAAAGAGGACTTGGTGCTCACGACCACTAAATTTGGATATACCCTTGAGCTTTCCGATAAAACTGCTAAGAAATTGAAAAACCATCCAAAAGTTAAGTATTTCGAGGAGGACAAAGAAGTTAGAATAGCTAGCTTTCTAGTAAACGATGTGGCAACACCGTACCACTCAAACTCCTATGTTACCACTTTTGTCTTTCAGAAGAACTCTCCTTGGGGACTAAGCCGTATCTCAGGTCATGTTGACACATATGAGTATATTAAGGGTGGTGGAAAGGACGTTATCGTGTATGTCTTGGATACTGGCGTAGATGAAAGCCACCCTGAATTTGGAGGAAGGGCCAAACTAAAGTACAATGTGGTTAATGGGAGTCCTAATACTGATGAACAGGGGCATGGCACCCATTGTGCGGGTGTAATTGGATCCAAAACATTTGGTGTGGCCAAGGATGTCAACATTGTTGGAGTGAAGGTGCTAGATCGCCATGGAGCAGGATCCATTTCTCGATTGGTAGAGGGCATTGATTTTGTGGTTGATGATTATCTGGATGAGGTTAGCATGTTTTTAAATGGAGAAAGTAAGTATTCCAAAAAGCCTAGCGGTGTGGTAAGTATGAGTATTGGAGGGGAGAAGAGCGAAATTCTAAACTATTTAATTAGAAGTGTGTCCGAGAAGTATGGTGTTCATTTCTCCACTGCAGCAGGAAATGAGCATAAAGATGCCTGCAAGTACTCACCTTCTTCATCATCTACGTCTCTAACTGTTGGTGCATCTGATGTAATGAACCAAGTGGCGAAATTCAGTAATAATGGCGAATGTGTAGATCTATATGCACCTGGTGTTGATATTGAGAGTACCTGGCCTGGTAATCAAACACGAATAGCATCAGGAACCAGTATGGCCACACCCCACGTTGCTGGTATAATGGCAGTATATCTTGGACTGGTGGATTTTACACCGGAGGACCTAAAAAAGAGAATATGGCTAGACTCGGAGAGTGTGATTGTTAGTGAGCAGTTTTGGAGCATATTCTCCGGTAGACAGCGACTAGCCAGTCTGACACAGTTGTACGATCGTCTAAAAACTCACAAAACAGGGTAAAAATAAACTATCTAATTTAGTTCCAAAGCTCAGTACTTCCATTTTATTGGTATTGTCTTGGGTTATGCCTGAAATTTATGGGAAACCTGTGGGCATGTCCTGTCATTGCTTATTCAGTGCATTTCAACAGCTGTCTTCTGACTAGCAATACAAAATGTATTTATATTTTTAATATACCCGATTAACCACTCCTTCACTTAAGCTAAAGTATTTAGAGCTAAATTTACTTTATTCTTTGGGAAAGAAACATTCAGCTAAAAGATGGCCATTTATGCTTAGCTTCAATACTCTCTGTTAATTCTATAAACAAACCCCCTGTCAAAGCTCTTCAAAATAACCTTCTCTTTTATTAGCACATTCACTATTTCTATTGCCTTGTACTTGCTGGTCTTAATCGACTTGACAAGATTGTCCAGCGAAATGGGCTCATTCGCCTGAATTATCTCAAACAAGGTCATTGCTAAATTCTTAGCTGCAGGTCTTTTTTCAAAAACTGTTTCAATAACCTCCATCGGATTTGCCTTTGCTGCTGTAGAGCTGTTGTCTGGCATTGTCTTTACTTTTTTATTATTCTGCTTTTCATCTTCACTGCTATTTACCACGTTGTCTTTATCTTCACCCAATCTTGTAGCCACCACACTGTTCTTACTCGCTGTAATACTGCTTGCTTTATTATTTGTTGCGATATTCTTGTTTGCTATGCTGTCTTCTGCTTCTTCAAAGGAATATGCCTCAAAACACTTGAGTAGAATCTCCAATCTTGTATTAAAATCCTTAAGAAATCTAGTCTGTGACTCCAATATCTTGGTCTTTGATTTTATTGACTTCAGTGTACTCTCAAACGACTCAAGGTTTTCTTTTAGTCTTTCTTCTTCCTTGTGCTTGTAGTGTTCCTCAATCATTTGACTCTTTATGGGGGAGAATGGTTGATGAAACTGAATACAATGTAGCATAAGCTAAGCATGTAATGTTCTTCCATCGTGGAGGAAGATGGTATTTCTCATATATGCATCGTCAATACGCACGAAGTCATTTGTTTTTTATGTTCTTTATTATCTTCCCCTATGTTTAGCAATCCACCAGATGAAAATGAAAAGGAACTAGAGAGAATATTTGAGGAGAAGCTGTATGTGGGCAAAAAGCACCCGCTGGCAGATGTAAGTAATATTCAAATGAAGGGTATCGGCAAAAGTGATTTTCATCATACGGATTTTATCAAGGGTTTTGAGGATAGAAGGATATTTGGAGGGAAACCACAGAGCATTAACTCAATGAAGGATAATAACAGCATTGTGTTAAAGGAGACTACTACTGCGTATGATGAGGTAGACAAAGAGAACGCTGATGAGATATCACATGACAGATATATATTGTCGGGGCTGCCCAAGGAAACAGCATTGGAGGGGATATATGAGGATTTAGAATTGAGAGATGTGTTGAAAACAAAAGAGATGTTAATGAGCAATGAAATTAAGGGCATTAACCATAATGCTAATAAGCCAGAAAGGAAGGTATCTTTTGACACACACGCTGATGTAATTGACATTTGTAGTGATGTTACACCTGAGAATAAAGCCAATGTTGTTGGCAATGCTGTTGATGTGAATGATAAAGACAGGGTTGCTAGCATTAATAGCCTTGCTGATAAGACAAACAAGATTGATAAGATTCATAGGCTTGAAAAAGAATTCCAAAATATGATACAAACACACAAAGATACTCTCAAAGTCAAGTCAAAAGTGTACAAGTTCATTTATAATGAAATATACACATTAAGGTCTGAGCTTAGCAGAAAAGTTGACAGTCTGGAAAGGGAGAATGCATGTCTCGGGGAAAAGATTAAAGAGTTAGAAACGGAAAGGGAGCATTTAAAAGACGAGATTGTCGATCTGAAAGGTAAAATAGAGAAATTTAAGGAATGCTTTAGATCTTACAACACTAAAGTAACAGAAAAGGCAATGCTGTGGAAAGGCATGATAGAGTCAAAGGTAAAGGAGTATTTAAAGAAGATAAATAAATAAAAGTCTTGCTATAAGACTGGCTGTAAATAAGCAGTGTCAAAAGCACATTAATTTATTCGTTTAGCTACGGAGTTGGTGGATTGAATTCAAATATGATCTTTGAAAAGACCTTGTCTGGGCTTGGTGAAAAATGTATTATTAATGCAAACCAGAGCTTAGAGAATCAACTTTTTGACGTTTTGATAGATAAATAAAAGAGTATTAAGATGTGTATTTCAAAGGAAGATTTTCTCGTTATAAAGAATGATGATATTGTCCACTCATTAAAGCGTATTTAAAATGATGTGTTGATATTTTTGTTAATGATTAGTGTTTTGTTAATAAACTTATATTGAAAGGATCACTAAAGTATGATTGACAGCTTTACCTGTCTTAAACATATATAATAAGATTTGTTGAGTATGGTTCAGTTGTATTTAATGCTATGTTTGGTGAATCGTTCAGTAAAGCTTGTGTTTTCTATTGGTTCTGTGTTACTTATCAGTGTTAATTAAATCCGCATGAAGTTGCTTTGTTTCTCAAAAAATTGTGTTAAATAAATGTCATGTAATTATTCAGTCCTTAAATTATCTACTCTGCAGCCCATTCAGTTACTTGGCTACAAACACTATTTGATAGGCATTCTAGAATGATTGAGTGGGGTACATCTATTGGATGATTATTAGTGTGGGTGAATGTGACGGTCTTGCTTCTTTGCATGGTATTCGATCTCTTATGCACTTCTCTTTAATGTTTACTTGAAAAAAGGAAGCCCCGGATATGCCAAAGAAGAAAATTCAGAAATCATTCAAAAATGCAGTATTTGAGAGTAAAATGTTTAAGAAATTTGAGAATGATGTGATTTTAGATAAAAAGGAAATAGCAGGGCATTCTTCTGAAAGTAAAGATCCTACTTTTAATCCTTGTGGGTCTCAGGGGCATTCGAGTGTGGGAAGTGAAGTGGGAAAGTCCATAAACATTATTGAATTCACGCATAGGAACGATGACAGTTCTAAAATAGAAACTAAAAAGACAGATGAAGGTAATAAGCATAAGAATAATAAAAATGGTAGAGTGGGTGAGGAAAATAGCATAAGCATAAATATAAAACAAAGAAGAGCAATCACAAAATGTCTTGTGCTGAGACTCCCTCGAAATTTTGCTTTTGAAAATTTGAAAGTCAAAATTAGTACGCCCCCATTTATGCATGAGACGGAAGACAAAGAAGAAGAGAACAGCAAAGAAGACAAAGCAGATAATAGAATAGACAAACAAATAGAAAGCAGATTAGTCCAAATAAAAGATAGAGAAAGGAGTGATTTAAAGTCAATTGATTTAGCTCATGTAATGCAAGAGAGTACAGAAGAGGGTGAAGTGAAAGATGCGAGTGTTCTCTTACAAAAAAAAAACGTTACAATTGGGAGATGCTACTGTTGAATTTGAGAATGATGTATTTGGAAACGTCAATGCACAAGACTTAACTGAGAGTGAGAAGGAATTGACAAATCCAGTTGACTTTGATCTGCCTTTTATCGCGAATGAATCTAAATCTGGTCATTACTTTGATTTATCATCGCGAAATTCACGTCATAATTCAATTTTGGAGGACGTTGATTTTGAAGTACAGGCAGAAGACAACGCAGCTGAGCACATTGACTTTTTGAAAAACAGTAATGCTAGCGTAGATCCATCGTCTTTTGATGATACAGTATTAATACATTCAGATCAACAGGTGGGTAAAGAGTCGCATTGTATTGAAGAGAGTCTTTTATCTTTAGAAAGAGGATTGGGTCAAAATGTCTATGATACAAGTCAAGCGAATTTAAATGATAATAAAGTATTGGAAGAGAATACTGAATCTAATTTAGTAAATGTAATTGACAATGTTTCTGGGCACAACTCATTGAACTTCGACACGAATACTTCTGAAAACAGCTTATCGAGCTTGGATCAAAAGGGTTCTCAATCCAATTTAGCAAGTGCAATCAATAATCATGCTTATGGAGAGGTGTTTTGGCTCATTCTGTTCATGAATCTGACCCAACTGATTCAGCAAACGACATCAGCAGTGAGGCTCATCCAAGCCTGAATAGTCAATGTATGGACAATATCAATGAAAGTGTAATTGATGAGCTATGCTCATTCTCGTTTGGTTCGTATTTTGATAATGACAGTTTGATAGTTTCTACTGATACTGATAATAGTGTTAAGCTCTCTAATACTATCACTTCTTCCTTCCTCTCGGATATTTCTGAGGATTCTCAATCATTTGCATTTCCAGAAGATAAGGAGATGTCGATGGAAAGCATAGATTGGAGTGTGCTGGAGCCTGTCATAACATTTGTCTCATCCAAGTGTATCAGTCATGAATATAAACCATCCTCACACAAATACAAACAAGCTAATAGCATATTATCAGATAAATCAATAGAGAATAAGACAGGGTTGGTAGAATCTCCCAGGAAACTCTTTCCAAAAAAGGACAGTGTCGATCAGTCAATTTTCTTTGATCCTCGTTACCTTTATTTCTTAAAGAAAGCGTGCAATCTCAGTAAGAAGGAGTGTGTTGCTTATGGAAAAGGAGCAGATAAAACTACTGATAGATCGTTCAAATAAAAATAAAGCAAAGACACTTCCTCCAAAGAAATACTATGCTATTCCAGAAGTGCCAATGACCGATGAGAATAATGACAGCAAGTATGAATGCATGAACAGTCAGGATATGCCTGTAAATGAGTATGGTAACAAAAGTGGGGACAGTTTCTGTCCTGGTGTCAACATATTCTATTTGGAAATTCTGAATACAAATGGTTCTTCTGAGTTTACAGGCATGGATTCGATATTCCTCAGGAAGGTTCCTGAGATAAGTAGCATAGTCCTCCCTTCCTATGAAAAAGAGGACTTTGAATACATGGTTTACAAGTATGGAGAGAACCTTGAACTGATATCAAAGAATACTGGTATTGATATTAAGGATGTAATCCTCATATACTATTTGAAGTATCATAACATGTCCATACAAATTGTTGGTTCCCTTCTTGACAAGTATGTTGATGAGGAGTGGTGCATAAACGATAGAATTCTTTTTGAAGAGAATTTTTCTAAATATGGAACAAAGTTCAATAAGTTTATGATGAACAAGCATGAAGATGAACTAAAGATATATTACAAGTATTATCTCAAGAATTATCTACCTGTAAACTGGTCAGAATGGGAGAGAGCACTCTTTGCCCACTTGATTGGAGTGTATAAAAAGGATTGGAATGCTATGTCTCTTCATTTTCAAAGAGAAAGCATAAATAACAATGAATATGACAATAACTGTTTGAAGAATGCCAATGATTTAAGAGTGTATTACAGTTCATATTTTAAGAAGTTAGATGAAGAAGAGAGGCTGAAGGAGTTGCAGCTGGCCGATGTCGAATTGCCTAAACTAGAGACTGTTCATAGAAAGAGGGGAAGGAAGCCCAATTCATTGAAGATACTTCAATTTAAGAACCAAGAAGTATCTGAAGAAACATAGCCCTATAAAAGACAAAGAGGATAATACTGGAGTTTTTATAGAGTATTTAGACAATGATAGAAAACATTAAATATATTGAATTTGTATTGCTAGTTGTTTTATGCATCTCATCTTATAACTGTTATTGAAGTTGACAGGTCTCTCAAATAACTTAAATAGATATTTACAATAACTAATTCAAATAAATTTATTCATAACACTCCCATTTTAATCAATAATTGTGTTAAAATATGACGTGTTGCAATGTTGTGTAAAATAGTCTTTTCCTACTGCTATTTACATCGGCTTTGTTCTTTGAAAAGACTTTTTTGTGCTTATCCCACAAAAGTATTTTAATGCTGGAAGAATCCTACAACGCATTTCTATTGGGTAAGTTCAAGCAACTCTTCCCAAAAATAGAATTGGCCGTCTTTCTGGAGGCCAATGAAAAACAAAGACCAACTGTTTTACGTGTAAATCCACTCCTCACTAGAAGAAAGGATTTGGCCTATACTCTTAGCCAGAGGAAGGTCGAAACTGAAAATTTGGAATGGACAGACACTGCCTTGGTAGCATTTAAGTCAGATGTTCCCTTGGGTGCCACTCCTGAGTATCTTGCTGGTCATTATATTATGCAAGGAGCCAATTCTATGCTTCCTGTCTTAAATCTAGGAAATAAAAGAAGGAATGAAGGTGGTAGATTTATGTGCTGCTCCAGGGGGAAAGAGCACTCATATTGCTGCTATTCTTAACAACACTGGTGTGTTATACTCCAATGATATTTCAAAAGAGAGAATTAGCTCATTGAAATCGAATCTATCCAGAATGGCTGTTACAAATGCAATAATAACCAACGTTGATGCCCTTCTTTTCAATGTAGGAAAGGTTGACAGGATACTCCTTGATGCGCCTTGTTCAGGAACGGGTGTGATAAGCAAGGATCCCAGCATAAAAACCTCAAAATCAGTGGAGGACATTAAGAGAGTTGTTAAGATACAGCAAAAGCTTATTTTACATGCCTTTGATATGCTTAGATCGGGTGGATGTATGGTCTATTCTACATGTTCTGTACTAGTGGAGGAGAATGAGGGTGTAGTTGATTATTTACTTTCACAAAGAAAGAGTGCAAAGGTTGTAGACTTGAATGTAGCCGTTGGAAGGGAAGGCTTTATCCATTTTAGAAACGAGAACTTCAATGGATCGCTTCAAAAAGCAAGAAGAATCTACCCACATGTTCACAACATGGATGGATTCTTCTATGTTAAAATATTCAAGGCTGAGTAGTACAAAATTAAAAGCTATATTAAATATAATAAAATATGAAAAGGTGCGCAAGGCCTATTTTAAGATAAAGCATAGAAGCTATTTGTTTTGGAGGGCATTTGATTAAAAATGATTGTTTATGGACCACATCAACATTTACAAAATGAATCAATCTTATTTTAACCTTAAATATACTATTTGACATTGATGTATTTACTTTTAATTTTTAATTTCAATGGATTTTCAGGCTTTTGAATAGTGCAGATTATTAAATTGCTTTATTCTTATCCCCTTTGTAGCACAAATGCTGTTGTACATCCTTTTGGACTTAAACAAGCCTGCTTGGAAAGCCCACCAAGAAGATCCTTTAAACAACTTACAAGTCTTTGTAAACGCTTGTATTCTCAGCGATCAAAGCAATACTGTCAAAATAATCAACTCAAAGACAGTTATTTTCAATTCAGAAGTTCACAAGGATTTTTCTAGTGTGTTTGAGTATTTAAACTCGAAAGATGACTTTGAAAGGTTGAAAGTAACGCCAAAAGATTTGGGGTTTGCATTGATGGACTTTCCCACTACAGTTTTAATATTTGAAATGACAGATGAAAGCAATGAAAAGATCAAAAACAGTCAGTATCTCGAGTATCTTAAGTGTATGTTTGTAGCACAGCATAGAAAAATACCCATCCATGGCTTTTCATTGCACAGGAACATACTTGTAAGGATGTGTTGTGAGGGGAGCGGTGGGATATTTCTTGAAAGCTGTTCTTTTTCTGACATGTTCCAGCTACTTGGAAATAGGACTAAGAAGAAGGATGCGTATCAAATCAAGTGTGCATGCTGTAACAATTTTGTTACACTTGGTCTGGTATGCCCTGTTTGTTTACTGGTGTACTGTAAATTTATGCCTGTTTGTAAAAAATGCAAAACGAAATTTACATTTATCAACTAAACGATAAGCAATAAATGTGAAGTAATTATTCTTTTAATAATATTTCCTTCTAACAATAAATATAATTTAGTCATACTTTGAATATACCTCCAATTTAAAGCCTTAAATCGTTTATGCAAAAGGCATGGTGTTTCTGCACCATTCATTCTTATTGAAAAACTAAAAATTACTGTCGAAACTGTTTAATGTTTATGCATCAAAACATATTGGCTTTTTATATTTTCTTATTAGCCTTTTAAGACAAGAATAGGCTTGACCCTACAAACATTCTTACTCACCCCAATCTTTTGAGAGTGGTTAACAACAACTTCAACGTCTTTGTAGCAATTGGCACATTCTTCAACCATTCCTTCAATTGATCCAACTTTGAAAACAACGTCCTTGCTTTTCATGTCCTCGATAACTTCTTCAACAGAAAACTTCTGCTTGGACTTGGAGCGAGAAACAAGCCGTCCTGCTCCATGGCACGTAGAATAGTACGTCAGTTTTGCATTCTTATCTCCGACAATTAGATAGCTGCAGGTACCCATCGATCCCCCGACTAGAACCGGCTGTCCAATATCCTTGTATTCTTCGGGTAGATCGAGGTGTCCAGGTGGTAGAATCCTAGAAGCTCCTTTTCTTAGAATCAAATACTCCCTTCCATCAATCTTTTCAATTTTAGCCACATTGTGACACACATCATAAATCAACTTTATTTCTACCTCAGGAAAAACCTGTGAAAAAACCTTTCTTACCTTTTCAGTGATTACACTCCTGTTGGCCCAGGCAAAATTAGATGCCGAGTTCATAGTTTTAAGATATTTCTGTCCAATTTCACTTCTAAATGGTACAAATTCAAGTGTTTCGATCTCTTTCTTTGTCATTGCTTCTTTTTTTTCTTGTCTAAACTTTTGAGTAATTTTTTCATACTCAACTTTCTTCTCCTCTTTACTCAAACTGTCATTTTCTGAAATCTTTTTAAACTCTTCCTTGGTCCTATCTTTTATAAGTTGTGTGGTATCAATGTTGCTTTGTTTCATTTCTTCTAAAATATCCGAGCAACATCCATGCCCTAATCCCCTGGATCCTGTGTGAATTGATATTACAATCTGTCCTTCTTCAATTCCCAACTTTTTGGCTATAGCCTCATCGCATATCTGATCAACAACTTCAATTTCCAAATAGTGATTGCCTGATCCAAGAGTTCCAAGATGCGAAGACCCCCTTGACTTGGCTTTCTGGTTAATAATCCTACTGTTACCTTCCAGACTGCCTCTACTTTCAGTAAAATCAAGATCTTCCTTACAGACTCTACCTATTTTAAGGAGATACTCCATACCTTCATCTAATATTCCATTCAAATGTTCTGGTGAAATACGCTTTTCTACTGGAATATCTTCGAAAGGTAGCTGTTCAACCAGTAAATTACCAATTAACTCCCTTTTATCGTTTACACTTGAAGACGTTTCACTACTTGGTATAAAATCTTTTAAAAATAAGTTCGTCTTTAAACATCTGACACCACAGTTAATATCAAAGCCAACGCCATCTGGGCTGATTGCAGCATCAGGATTTGAAAGATCTATGACTGCAATCGATCCAATCGGAAGTGCATATCCAATATGGAAGTCTGGTAGTCCTATTGAACAAACCAGTCCAGTGAGCTTCTTTCCTGCAACAAACTGTGAAATAGCACAGTTATCCGGATTGGAATCGTACTCATCTAATATGTGTTTTCTTAGTTCTGAACTTATGTATATTTTTTGACCATTTACGATAAGACAGTCTTCTTCTTCTGAAATTTGAATGGTCTCACTTTTGGACATGTATTAGGGGGCATATCTTTTTAAAAAAGAAAGATCCAAGCAAATAATCATGGAATTGATGGATATCATTTGATTTGACAGGTCTACATAAATATTTTTTAATTTTTCATATAAAAACACCAACAAACTCTGCTATGCTACACAATAAATAATATTGTGTTATAAATTTCCACTTAGCTTTCTTCAATCTTATTTTTAACTAGAATAAGGCAGAGCTTTTTGAAACTTTTTGAATCAAGTTTCATTTCTTGAAACATTTCTAATTAATGAAAAATAATCAAATAAGTTATGAGATTGCCTATAAAAAAAGGCTGTATCTTTCTGTATTTTATAAAGAATGTTGTGTCCATTTCTAGTATTACAGTGCCGATAGAGAACATTTTAATGCCTGATGGGTGTAGCGAAAGTAAAAAATATGAGTTTATTAAAGAATTAACAAAAGTTGGCAATGATGACGTGATTTCTGGAAACTACAAAAAAGGCCTCAATCCCGGTTATCCTTTTGATTCAAATTTTAGTTCAATTTTTGACAGCTCAGTGAGATGTTCTACAAATCGCGAATCCAATTCAATGAAAAGAACGCCATCATTTGATCCTTGCAGGTATTCACCGCCTTACTCTCATCCAAGTCAATCTCAGCCATCCCCTCAAACGTTTCCTCAATCTCATCCTATTCCTCAGTCTATGCAGCAGATTGCCCCGCAAGCTCAGCCACCTGGCACTACTACTTTGCAACCATCTGCACAGCCTGCTATATATCCTATCTATGTACCTGTCCCCATCATAAGAACTGTTACCGTATCAATTACTTCTAGTAGTCAACAAACACAACCTACAACACAGCCATCTAGTTTTGGTACAATGCCTGAAGCATCTCAGCTTCCAGGTGATTGTAGCTCATTTAGAGCTAATAGCTATACTGGTGGAACTATAAACTGCGGAACAACGTCATTTAATAAGCCTCAGCAAACAGCTAATGTCCAACAAATGCCGTATGCACAATATGCTTCGGCTTCAAATACAGGCAATGCTTGTATTCCTACAGGAAATGCTAGTTGTCAGAATCATCCACAAGGTATAGCAACTCAAACACCAATGAAAAGCTCAAAATGCTAATAAAAAGAGAAGAAGAGGCAATAGAAATAGACAAAAGGACAATAGAATCAAGATAGAATGTGATTGTAGAATACTATTCACTGGATTAGAAGACTGTAAATGCGATAAGAAAAAATGATGAGATAAAGCTTAATGTAATTTCTGATTAGCTGATTTTACATTAAATTAGATAGTGCCTAATTTTATGCAAAAATACTTTTTAATCTATTAAAATAGAATACATTGAAATTGTCTCATAAGAATATTTAATTACTCTTTAAACAATTCCTCCAGGTCTTTCAAAAACTCAATATGGTCTAACACCCCAGTTTCATCAAACAGCTCTGAGACATTTTTATAATATTTTACAGGAACCATTCTGTCCTTCCAGTATAAAAGTACAACATATACTGGCATTCGATCTATTCTTGTAATTACACTGAATTCATAGAAGGATAATTTTCCTCCAAAAAAGTATGAAACTATGTAGCAGAATATATTAACTGCAAAATAGGAGATAATACACATAAATAGCATTCTTCTTACATCTTCAAACTTACAAAACAGACTGAGAACTACAACTATACTGGCCTGAATTGTTGAAATGATACCTATGACATTTTGAAAATCTGTAAGATGGTACTTCTCTTGGAACCCCCGTTCTCGGCAGTATTCAACCAAAAAGTCGTCCAACGTTATTTTTATTTGTTCTAAGGTGTAAATGTCGGCGGTTATCGGTGTTTTTATGTATTTTTTTGTGATTTTATCGACGACATTGTCCTTAGACTTTGTGTTTTTAGTTTCCATGAAGGTGGGGGTATGACAAAAATTGATTGTGGAATAAAACTCTTTTTAAAGATCAAAAATAGGTACCAAGTTAGTATGTTCTGGCTATTTGAATAAATAATACTTGTCAACATGTGTAACTTATTAATCCATTTCTATTAAAATAAGCTTAATAATGTTTGATTGCTCAAAGTATATTCTTAGATTATCTCTTTTTGATCAATCCAAATAAAAGTACTTAAATTAACAAATCTGTGTCCTCTTATTTTACTACTGTATCTTATTTAGTATTTTCATTATTTCTTCACTATTTAGCAATCCCCTGGTGTACAAAAGCTCAATAAACTCAATGATTTCATCAATCATTCCATAGCTTGAAACAATTTCATAAAGCGCCTTTTCAAGATTCAAATTCTCAATATAAACACTATTCCATGCTTTCATTAGCTTGTACATTTTAGGACTTAGTGCTAATGTAAACAAATGCTCTTTTATTCTCAAATTCAAATGTTTTGAAAGCATACTAGAATAATTAAGAGTATCAAATTCCCTCTCAATCAGCAATCCATAGTTTTGTAGACAGTATTCCAGAAGTTTAGTTTTTCTTTTCCTCATAAACGATATTGTTGTTTTCTTTAAATATTTTTGATTTAAAAATACTGTGTCTTCAAATATCGGTGTTAAGAAAAAGTTTGGAATGGGTTTAAACTGTTTTTGGCCTTTCGTTTCTTTAGATAATGGTTTTAACTGTAATAAATACGCTGTAATGCCCTCTTTCTTGCCAGTATACTTTGCATTAAAGATTGCAATGACAAGTAATCTTTCTGTTAAATAATTCTTGCATTTAACCTTGTCATTCACAAGATTTCCCACCGTGTCCTTTATTGGCGAGCTTGTCTTCTTATTTACATTGTAGTTTCCTTTACTTTCACTTTCAATACAAATATCAGCATAGAAGTCTATGTAATTTTTTACCGAATCTTCCCCACTCGATGTGTACTCATCAAAAAAGGTCTTACTATAAAATTCTATCCCATGCATTGATGGATGCGTGTCTGTGTCGGATTCTATTGGATGGGAATTTGCAAATACATTCTCTTGGATTTTCTTTAAAGAAATGTTTTTGCCTTCTCTCCCTAGTTCATAATTAATATGTAAATAGTTTATATGATATTTCATAACACTTGGATTCCTAAATAACCTAAAACACAAAGGACATTGAAAACATGGAAATATTATACACTGGGATTCCATTAGTATTGTGTAAGTATTGCTACTTGTTTCCTGACATACATTATAGTGACAATCATTCGGTTTTCTTGCATTTGATATAGATATTGGAATATTAATATAATTATTGGATCTGCTTATAAAATCTAGCTCAACAGCCTTAAGCTGTTTTCTGTCCCAGTTTCTGCAGCAATTTATTTTTGTGTAGAAAACGTGGCATTTATTGTCTTTCTTGAATGAGGTAATATTATTGGTCGTTTCTCCTTCTTGATCTTGATTTTCATTTATAGCTTGAATTTGTAGGTTTTGATTAGGAATGTAATATAAAAATAAATGTATTTCATCAAAACAACTAAATGTTACAATGGGTTCATTCATTCTAATTGTTCTTGAAATGGTTGTGTTTCTATTGTGTATAAATGCTTTAATGGACATTTCTCTAGTTAATTCATTGTCCTGAATGCAAAAGTATGAACATTCCGATTCTATTGGATTTTTACATGCTATACGAGTATGCTTTATTAAATTTTTGACTAGAAATGGAGGATTATGTCCTATTAGCATCTGAGCAATTCGATCTTCCATCAAATTTTTATGGGCAGAATGTTTAGATTCACTTAAAAGTACTTCACTCCAAGGGAATGACACAGCTGGAAGAGCACTGTTCCAAGAATTCAAAGACTCCTTCGAGAGGACATTTAAAGAGTTCCTTGAAATAGAAAAACTAAAGAAAAAGATAGAGTCAACAACAATGTCGATTGCCCTACTCAATGGTTGCATTGCAAAGCTGAATGGACTTCAAATGTCATACCCAATAATCGTTGGAAACGGCCTGTCAAGAGCCTCAATCGCAAACATTGGCACTTTCCCACCTTACAGCTATAATAAAAACTATGTCTATCCAATGAACTACAGCGTTAAAAAGAGATTCAAGCCTCACTCAAACTACAAAAAGAGCACAATAAAGAAAGAACAGACTTTGTTGTGAGTGGCCTGTACATTTTTATGCAAGTTGCATTAATCATTGCATAATGAAACTATGTGAATCAGTTGATTGATCAAAGCCCATTTAAAAAGGTCAAATGATAGATAATGACAGGCTGTTGGCTGTGACTTGGAGTAGCTTTTGACATTTAATAAAGTAGTTTTACAACTAGCAAAAACACAAAAATAACAACAAGAGCAATGACAACTCTGAGAAGTTTGTTTCTTCTAACGATGTACCTTCTGTATTTGTCTAACTCGTCATACACCTGTAAAGTAGACTGTTGTGCTGTTTCGAATCCAGTCTCGATGACATCAATTAGCTCCCCCTGACTCAATACACACTGATTCATAAATATATTTGCGTTCAAAATCCTATCTATTTTTTCATTGATGAGATCCAGTTTGCTTGTCCTTTCTTGGTTAATATAGATTGTATGGTTCGATTTCTTTTGTAAAATCGTTTTTAATTTTTCAATACGCTCAAGAATGTTTGGTTGCCTGTAAAACTCGGCTAGTTTTTCTAAAATACATATTTGGATGCTTAGTTCCTCATATTTGTCTCTTGATTGATTGTCTTCCACTTCACAGACCCTTGATTCTAAATTTAAAAGTCTTATTTCTATGTCTTCCATTATTTACAATTATGTTTTAAAAATATGCGGGATTTGATACAAGATTGCAGTTTTAGTTAAACTTGAGGTAGAAGTGTGTTGGCAATATTGTATTGTCCTTAAAAATTTGCTATCTGCAACAATTTCCATAAGATGGCTTAAAATTTATAGGCAATCTTGTGCAATAATTGTTTATATTAGATAGCTCATGCTATATTTTTAATATAATATTCTATTTGCTAGTTGCTATATCAATGGTTTTTTCTAATTTAATTTTGAATATTATCTTTGTGATTTATTTGTAACCATGCACAGTGGTTGCACTGGAACCCATGGGATTTCTTAAATTAAATCAAGACTGGTCAGGCCAAATATCAAGAGCAATCCCTTGGAGATTTGGTATCGTTGCTTTATTCAATTGTTTTCTATTAGATATAAAAATGGAAGTGTCTTAAAATATAGGTTAGTGGCTAAATAGATGGAAGATGTTAATGTTTTGATCAGTGCAATAATTTTCTATAGAAGTTCTTCGTTTATGCATTTGTGTGTCAAAAAGATAATTGGCTAAAAACGTTAATATTACATCATTAAATTTACAGTAAAGAAACTACAAGAGTTTGTAATATTTTGCTTTCAAAATGGCTCGGCACTATATTATTCATAGATATTTTGATACGTTCAAGGGGTAAAATGGCATGAAATAGTCTTATAATATTAAAAAATAATTTGCATAGATTATTTGAATATGTGCTAAACTGAAATAATTGTATGTCAATTCAATATTTATCATGTTTATAGTAAAAATATTATGCATAATGTGGATCTTTTAAATTCGTCTATTAATGCTAATGTGGATTTTCAAAATTTGAAGGATTATTGTGCGATCTAAGAAAATGTTGCTAAAATAAGGCATGATTTAATTGTTAAATATTTCCTTCAATATAATCAAGCAAGCATTAAAACATAAAGAAAATACAAATATACCATCAAGTATGAACTATTGATGCCATTTTTCAATTATGCTTTCTAAATCTGCATTGGTTATTGTTGTAGATTCTTTTGTCATCTTCAAATTGATCGTTGGCTTCCATATTAGGACTTGGTTTGAGTTTTTATTCGACGAAATATCTTTTCAGATCTACGTAGGATCAAGCGTGGATGAAGTCAATGTCAGATATGTTCAAATTTTTGCCTTCCAACATAGAAATGCATAGTTATAGTTTGGAAAATTCGTTAGAAAATATCTATGTTGATCAAAATGCAAATAAAACGGATTTGAATCATTTTTAGTAATATTTGAAAGCATTTAATACGTTTTTAGACACAGGTTTTAATTATAATGGTGTGTTGTTGCATTTTGAGTCATTTCGCCGTAGCATATGTTTAGTTCTGAAGTCTTTTATATGTCGGAAAAAGGTATGCACAAATGACTTTTAATGATGAAGCTTAAGGGCTCAAATATATTCATACCTATAAATCTCTGAGATCATATGTCCATATTTTATTATGCAATGAAAATAAGTTTTTATTTAAGAAATGTAACTATCCTCTCTTTCGATGTAAACTAAAAGTTTTACCATGTTAGCAAACATTGTGTGATAATGGCATGGTACTTGGCATAGTTCTTTGAAATTCCGGAATGATCTGTGCTTTAGTAATTTGCCCTGATAAAACTCACAATGCTTGTTAAAATGTTGTTTAGAAATATAAAAGTTCAATGATAGAGTGTATCAGCCTTTTATAATCGATTGTATTGTTCAATGCCGCAATTATATTCTTGTTTTAAATTCAACTACATTAAAAGCTCTATAATATATACTTTTGAATCGCTAAAATAATCGACAGATACATCATAATCAAAACTCTAAAATATCTCTAATTTTTGACTCTTTCAACATTAAGAATGTCCACATATCATTTATTTAGCATTACGATACAAAAGAAAATTGCATACTTCCAGTTGGATTAAATGCCACTTGTCAATATTGAAACTGCTTTCTATAAAAGATTTTGTGAAGTAAATTGGTTTTGTCAAACTTAAATACTTCTTTGATTATAATTATTTGCCAGGTACTTTCTTATCTTCAACATAATTGCGAAGTAACATGGCCACATTTACCAGCTATGCTCAAATCTCTTTTAAATTTATCTAATACAATACACTTGTGTTAGCTTTTAAAGTTTTCTAATTTTATTTTTAAATCCATCACGTAGATATTTTTTCTATAAGATTAATTTATCAATATTATGACTGTAGTTCCTGTTTACTGGATCAATGCATAGTTAAATCCCATCTTTTATTTCTAAAATTTACTACCTTGATGTTGTTTCAATTAACTGTTTGGTTAATCTTCTTAAATATAATTGAGATGGTTCTTTGCGATTAGAACTTGACAGAAAGATTTTTTAAAAACCTCCAATACGAGGACAGTAATTTTAAAAGAAAGATTGACAAAATACTAAGCTTCTATATCTAAACGTATGAGCCAAATGAGTATTAAAAAAGAAAGGTTCTGACGGAGTAAATAGTTTGAAGTATTTTTGATGTACACAGCTAAATTATCAAGAAAATCATTTCTTGCATAAATAAAAAAGTGAAGAAAGAGTTATTTCCTGGTAAGATTCCAATACACTCAACATAAAAAACTTTAAACAATTTCTGATATTAAAATTACACGTTAGCAGTTAAGTATGTAGACAAATTTGATGATATACGAAACTGTTGTCAGTACAACAGCACTGAAAATTGAACTTGTTGAAATAGTTATGGATAAAATATAAAACTATATTTAGTAGATATGCCACATAAACCCATTAGATTTACAAATCGTTTCATATTCTAACACAATAATCTCGGCAAAGAATTCGTATTATATAAAAATCTTTCTGTGGAAATACTACCGAATTAATGTTGTCCTTCATTCTTAAGCTTTAATTTTATCGAATGTTTATTTGATCAAAACGAATTGTTGGAAAATTGTTCCTAAAAATTTTACAGGCATGGTATTAGTCGGATGCTCGCGTTGAACTCCGTCATAAGATTATTTGATTTAGTGAACAAAAGAATTGAACTTATCTATGTCAAGGGAGTATATTTGAGGAAATAGATGTTTTATCAATGTCTTTCCTAAAGGCAAACTTTTATCAAAGCATTTGAAAATATAAATAGGTGAAAAAAATATGGCATTAAATGCTAATCAATTAACATTTTCTAATCATTATCGTATTTTATTTAATGATCTTGTTAAAATCAGGTAAACCATAGTACATACATTACAATCCAATAGTTTTTGTAAATAGAGCCATGCAAATTCGTATATTTGTTTAGTTTAAATAACGCTATTTATATATTTTACCACTCCAAAATTAATACACTCCAAGTGCTCTTAATTTTATACCTGGAATTTTACCATAAAAATTTCCAGTTGCACCAGATGTATAGCTTGGACCAAGGAATGGTGGAACGTGATTTTTCTCGTTAAAAGATTTGCATGCTAGAAGAGAGATGGCTCTTTCTAGGATATCGCAGAAGCAGTTTATATACATTGAGTTTGAATGGAAGGGGAAATGTGAAATATGTTTCATAGAGTCACGCGATCCGATATTTTTCAATAGATATGCCTCATTATCATATTAAGTTTGTTAGTGTGGCATATGCCACTTGGGTCAAAATTTTACCTTACAATTTACATGATCTATGCTTGGGTTATATACAGAACATGCATCTGACTGCAAATACGACGCCAGGTGTCTGCAATTTTAAAACCCATCTAAGCTTATGATGACAGTGTTGATTGGTCTTAAAAAGCTCAAAAATACATATTGAACACATCAAAGCCGATTATTTGATATGTCAGAATAAAGACAAATGTGGGTTTAAGTTACTATTTCATCAACACTTGGCTATTATTTTGCACAATAGATCAAAACTTCCTTGGACAAACTTGTCGATAATGAAATTGCCAAAAATAGAATACAATTGGTATTAAACCACGATCCGAACCAGCAAACATCTTATAAACTAAATAAACATCATTATATTTTTATTTTTAACAATATACTATAACATGAGCGTCTGTGTGAACATTATAATTAAGATTAAAAGTGTGTGAAGTGTTAAATAAAATTACTCTTGGATCAAAAAATC